GTCATAGAGCAATGCGCCATCATAACGGCGTTTACGTGCTACGGGTAAGATGATGCTGATGTTGGGACCTTGGTAGCTATCCGTTCCAATTTTGACGATAATTTTTGCGATCTTACCTTTGCGGAGATCTCGCCGCATGACGGGGAAATAGAAGAGCGGAAACCCACCAATACGTAAAACGATATTTTTGGAGATCATCTCCTGATTCATTCGGACTATGACTTCGGAGACGCTGAAATAGTAGTGGGGATATTTCAGCGAGCAGGTCGTCAGCCTGGCACCGCGGATATAGGAGCGGTCTTCCTCTATTTTAAAGATTTCACTGCCGCCGAAGTACCACGGGTCGCTGAATGTAAATCCGTTTCGGGCAATGCCTTTTTTATTTTCGAGGTTAAAGATGAGTTCATCGGAGTAAGTCTCTTCGTTCCCAATCTTTAGGTGGACGTTCCCGGATGCTCGCACCAGGTTTTCGTCGAAGTCTACCCAGATATGGTCTGCTCGGAGAATGACATCTTCAAACTTGATAAGGGCATTTCCGTGAATTTGGACGAAATTATCAACCATAGCCAGATCGTCGCCATCGCCGATTACCATGCCTTCTTCAGGTACATCTGTCTCCGGGTTCAACCGCTCTGCGGCGGATCCTTCCTGCTCTGTCTCATCCGTAGATTCAGGGACCTGTGTTTCAGTAGCGGGTGGGTCAGAGGGTTGTGCCTCTTGCGCGATACTGAACCCGACCGGGAAAAGGAGACAGGCAATGACGAATAGTGCCAGTGCTATGCGCTCAATTCCGGACGCTGGGATATGGAAGACATGATGTTGATTTTCTAATTTACCTTGCGGATCAGTCATAGCCTCTGGGTATTTAACGGTTTTCGTGTTCGAGTCGCCTGCGCCGTTGTTGCAGGCTTAGGTTTTGATGCTATACCGTACATATCCTTATTTCAGTCGCCATTTCACCAGAAATCTGCTCGTAATGAAATGGAGAGCAGTCCAGGAGGCCATAAATTAAAAATCTTTTAATTCAATTCTAATGTAAGCGTTTTCAAGAAGTTTGTTGGTATACGCGTCCCATTCCTCTTGAAATCGCTGCTGGCGGAGTATTGAAGTGATCTGTTGTTTCTCTATCTCACTGAGACTTGGACTATTTCGCTCGTCGACCTTAAAGATATGAAGACCGGATTCAGTTTCGTGGGGTTGGCTGTAAGTGTCGGGTTCAAGTGCTTCAATGGTCGGCCGAGTTTTCGGATTGAGCTCCGTTAAAGAACGGACCCCGAGGTCGCCGCCGTTATCTCGCGTTTCAGCATCGTCGGAATCTGTCGCTGCGAGTGCATTGAAATCTTCGCCGTTTTCCAATTTTTTGAAAACTTCAACAATACGTTCGCGTGCTTCCTGCATAGCCGGTGCACTCGGTGTGAGGGGAACAATGAGATACCGAAATGCAGTCATCTTATCGGTTTTCGTTTCGACAGTGAAAACATAGAGTCCCCTCGTTTCCTTCAACGGGTTCGCTGAGTTCGCCAGCCTGCAAGTTTGTAAGAACGCCCTGGAATATCTCTGGGAACTTTTTGAGCTCCTCTGTAGTAGCTTCTATGAGCATTCCCGCTTGTGAATTGGGGTTCTGCTGAGAGGTGTACCGTTTGTGCCACCTCCTCAAACATCGTGCGATCTGCTGCGATTTCATCAAGGGCATTTTTAACGGTTTCAGATGCGGCATCCCGGTCGGCTTGATTCGGTTTAAATGCAACGAAAATGTGCCGTAAATGGACCCTATCTGTTTTAGTGGGGAGTTGTTCTCGATTTTCCTCAAAAAATTTTTGGATCTCGCTCTCTCGCACTTGGAGTCGAGGGACAATTCTCCCCATAACAAGTTTCTCAGCTTTGAGGTTCCGTCCTGACTGCTCTCGAAACGCCACGACGGTCATACCCTCTCTGTTTAATTGCTTTTTAAATTCTTCGTCGGTTTCAATTTTATATCTATTTTTAAAGTCTTGGATGTACTGCTCTATTTCTACGTCGCTGACGTTAACCTTCAGCGTTAATGCGGTTTCCAAAAGGAGCATTTGCCTGATAAGTCGATCAAGTAACTCAGATCTCTGCCGTTCAGCCTCGTTGAGAGCCTCTTGTTCGCTGAAGCGATATACCTGTTGGAGTTCCATGGCGCGCTGATTCACTAAGACATCGAGTTCTCGCTTGGTCACGATATCGTCATTAACGTAAGCAATGATTTTGTCAAAGGTGCGAGCGGAAACCCTACTCCGCACACCACTGCTGATGAGTAGTAAAATGAGTATAAAACAGGCAACTATTTTGTTAGCCATTTTTTAATTATTCCTTGCGGATTTTTAATTATTCCTTGCGGTTCGGTGAGGTGGGTTAGAGACCTTCAAGTTCCTCTCCGTAGACCCGTCTTCCACTTCGCTACAGACTACGGTTATGTAAAATTAGCTTAAGAAAGCAGCCTGCAACAACGGCGCAGGCGGAGGCACCCAAAAATCGTTATGAAACTAACCCCTTCATTTAACGCCTTGCGAACTATTAAAATTTTCATTACGAGCTACGCGCTTTGTCCTGTTATACTAAACTTTGGACAATTTTCAGTTATCAGCAATTAGCAATCAGTGGCGTTGTCGACTTGAGAAAGTTAACCCGACGGAAACCGACCACTGACTGCTGATTACTTTTAAAGCTATTCTTCAGGTTCTGCCTCTATAGGAGCCTCTTCGGGTTGGTCTTCCTCTGATGGCTCTTCGGCTTCTTCAGATTCTCCCTCTGGGATGCGATCTATGTACGTTTTGACTTCAGCGCGTTCGCGAAGTTGGACAATCCAGCTGTCCATGAGTTCTTGTCGCCGCTCGCGTTCCGCTTTTCGGACGACACTCTTACGAACATCTTCCTCCTCAAACGGTTTTTGGTATTCATCGCGAGCTTCGTTTTTTCGGAACATCATGTAGTATTTCTGCCCCTGAACGTCAACTTCAATGACACCTTCGTGCAGCTGACCGATCTCTGCACCAAACGCCGCGTCTAAGAAGGGTTCAGTTCCCGCAGGGAAGGATTCCGACCAATATAGTCTGTGTCACCCGGAGAGGCTGGATTCGCACCAGGGCCTACGAGTTCACCGCGATCGGAGAGTTCCTGAGCGATTTCAAGGATGTCTTTGCCTTCCTTGATTTGCGCGTAAACTTCATCAGCCCGCTCTTTATTGAGGAGCGTGATACAGGAAAGCCTCACTTGCGCAGGACGCACGTACTCCTGTTTGTTCGCTTCGTAGTGCTGAACATAGTCGTCTTCAGTCAAAGAGAGTTTGTCATCGACCTCTTGCGTGGTAATTTTCTTAACCATCAACTCGTGAAGATAATCCTGAACCTTCTTGAGAATTTCCGGGTCTTCGTTGAGTTTTTCGTCTCGGGCAAGACCGAGAATTAGCCGACTCTCCGCCATGAGGAGCATATAGGTTTCCAGTCCCTCTTTGTCCTGATATTGACGCTGTTTGTATTCCGGGAGTTCGCTAATTTCCTGCATCATCTCTTCAAGAGTGATGCGTTGTTTGCCGTCCCATTCAAATTCAGCGATGACCGTTCCATCAGCACCGATCGCCTTGTCGCCGCAGCTATAAAAGATAGGATGCGTGACAAGGATCCCAATTAAAAGTATGGGGATAATCCGAGACTTGGACTCATGAATGATAGCCGCCTGCAACAACGGCGCAGGCGGAACTTCATTAAGAGCTGTTGTTAGACCAATCCGGTTATTTAACGCTTTGCGAATCATTAAAAAAATTCTGCCCATGAAGCGGGCAACTACTGTGAGCATTTATCTAACTCCTTTTCTTAACCCAGCACTCTGGCTGGGGATGTTGCTTCCACAAAATGGGAATAAATTACTGATCTGATTCTTCGGTCTCCGCTTCTTCTACTTTCAGCGGTTCCGGAATATTCTCAGGATAGGTTTTTAACTTGCCTTTCTCAGTGATTTCGACAACCCAGTCATTGATGCGTGCGCGTTTCTTGTCGCGTTCAACAGTTCTTTGGATATCGTCTTTGACCTCATCGAATTCCTCCTGCCGCTCTGGCTGATGCTCTTCTTTACGGAAGATGAGATAGAAGGTTTCGTCATTGACATCAACCTCAAAGACGGTATCTGTCATTTCGCCAATTTCTTGGTTAAACACAGTCTCAATGAATTCCGACCACCGCGCCGATGAGGATTCGGTAAACATGTTGGTATTCCCTGGATCGTCCTCATTATAGCCGGGTCCGTTGGCGAATTTCCCTGCTTCGGCGAGCTCCTTCGCCATCTCAACGATGTCTTTGCCAGCTTTGATAGCATCCAGTGTCTCGTTGGCAACATCTTCATCGTCAACGGTAATGCAGGTTGCGCGAACTTTGGCTGCCTCAATGTACTCACTCAAATTCGCTTGATAATGCGCCATGAGATCCTCATCGGTATAGACGACTTTGGCATCCACTTCTGCCTCAGTCAATTTCTCAACCATAAGCTGATGGGTATAGTCTTCAAGCTTTTTGAGGTGTTCAGCCAGTGAATCAAACCCTTCATCGGCAGCGCGAAGGATTTTGAGCCGTTCCTCTATCAGTTCTTCAAGATACTCGGCTTTGTCTTCCCGAGTCTTAAAGTTCTGCTGACGGTAAACCGGTAATTCGGCAATGGCGGCGTTCAAATCTGCCATTGAGATTTGATAAGGCTTGCCATTCCATTTGTACTCTGTCAAAATCACCTTGCCTTCGTCCATAGCGGACATGGGTTGTTCATGGCTATCGGACTGCACAAACCTCCATGTCAGTAGACAGGTCACAGTGACAATTACAAAAATAGCAATCGTTTTTTTCATATTTTTAATGTTCCTTGCGGTTCGGTCAGGTCGGTTTGGGAAATGAAGGGTTTCCATTCCGTATATCCAGCCCGCCCGTTGGTTAGGCTTACGCGCTTTGGACAATGCGCGTAGCACGTCTTTTTTAGTTGACCTTTCGTTTTTACGATTACTCAACAAACAACCTTAGTGCTTGTTGCAATTCGGTCAACATACTCGCGCCAGTCACTCCCGGCATGCGAATCATAAGTTGTGCCGGAGGCTGTAACTGGAGGTTTTTATTTTGGTGGACTATCTCAACGAATTTCTTCACATTAATTCGTGGTTTTCTTTCATCAAAGGTAACCTTCACCTGTTCCTTTCCAGCAACAATGGTTGTGATACCGAGATGTTGGCTGAGTTGTTTGATGTTAGCGACTTCCAGTAACATCTCAGCCGGTTCGGGTATCGCACCGTATCGATCCTTCAATTCCTCTCGGAGCTCATTAAGTGCTTCTCGATCCTTCAGTCCAGCAATTTTCTTATAGATAGAGACCTTTTGACGGCTATCTGGGACGTAGCTATCGGGCAGATAGGCTTCAACGGGTAGATTGATACGCGTTTCCATGGTTTCCTCAACCTTTTCACCCCTTAGTGCCATCACTGCTTCTTCAAGAAGTCTACAATATAGTTCATATCCGACAGTGACGATATGTCCATGCTGTTCCCCGCCGAGGATATTTCCAGCACCCCGGATCTCTAAATCTCGGAGGGCTATTTTGAAACCTGAACCGAGGTCTGTGAATTCTTCGATAACGCGGAGCCTCTTCTGCGCGCCTTCTGTGATCGCTCGGTCCTGTGGATAGAAGAGGTATCCGTAAGCCTGTAGCGTAGCACGTCCGACACGTCCTCGTAACTGATAGAGTTGCGCCAAACCGAGTGCATCTGCTCGATTAATAAGGATCGTGTTAACGTTCGGGATATCCAGTCCTGATTCAATAATCATTGTGGAGACAAGGACATCATGTTTATGCCGAACAAACTCCAGCATAATGGTCTCTAATTCACGTTCAGGCATCTGTCCATGTGCGACGGCAATGCGTGCATCCGGGACCAGTTGTTGAATGGTTAAAGCGATACTCTGGATGTCCTGAACGCGGTTGTGGACAAAAAACACTTGCCCGCCGCGCCCTAATTCTGCGATGATGGCTTCGCGAATCACATCACTGTCATACGGCATGACGTACGTCTGAATCGGCAATCGATCTGCTGGTGGTGTGTTAATGACACTAAAGTCTCGTATGCCAATAAGCGACATGTGGAGTGTACGTGGAATCGGCGTAGCGGTCAATGTCAGGACATCAATGCTTTCTTTGAATTGTTTTATTTTCTCTTTATGCTTAACGCCGAAGCGATGTTCTTCGTCAACTACTAAGAGGCCGAGGTTGTCAAACGCAACCGTTTTGGAGAGTAGGCTGTGTGTTCCAATCACAACATCAATAGTGCCGTTCGCCAACCCCTCTTTAATCTGTTTTATCTCTTTCGGTGTGCGGAACCGGTTTAACATTTCAATATTGACAGGGAACGGTTGAAAACGTCTTTCAAAAGTGTCGTAGTGTTGGAGAGCGAGAATGGTCGTAGGGACAAGAATCGCCACTTGCTTTTCGGACATGACGGCTTTGAAAGCGGCACGTAACGCTATCTCAGTTTTTCCGTATCCGACATCTCCACAGACGAGCCTATCCATCGGACCTTCATCTTCCATATCTGCTTTGACATCTTCAATTGCCTGGAGCTGATCGTCAGTCTCTTGATACGGAAAAAGTGCCTCAAATTCGGTTTGCCACGGCACCTCAGCGGGAAAACTGAAACCTTTGCGCGCTTGGCGAAGGGCGTACAACTTCAGGAGTTCACCCGCCATTTGTTCGATTGACTCTTTGACGCGTCCCTTTCGTCGATTCCAAGCAGTCCCCCCAAGCCGATCAACACGTGGCTTATAGGCGTTGTCTTTGCTGCCGATATACTTCTGAACGAGATCGACTTGATAGGTCGGCACATAAAGGATGTCACCTGCGTTGTATCTGAGTATCAGAAAATCTTGTGATTTTCCGTCAATTGCCAATCGACGTATCCCATCATAGATAGCGATGCCGTGCGAGACGTGTACGACATAATCCCCAACTTTTAGATCGATGAGACTGAGAATCGGTGTTCCGTCTGTAGACGAACGGTGTCGGATGGGACGGCGATGGTGACGACTGCCAAAGAGTTCATCTTCGGACATAACAACGAGATTCAGTGATTCATTGAGAAACCCTTCACTAATTCTTCCCACACTGGTATCAATATCTGGAGGAAATAATTCGCGTTCTGCTAAGATTTCAGACACGCGCTTTGACTGTTGAGGCGTTTCACAGAAAACATGAACACGGGTTCCTTCCTCCGTCCAAGTTTTCATCTGATTGATAACCGTTTGATAGTTGCCAGATGGCAGTGCCAACGGTTTCATCTCAAAATGCAGAGGCGGTATCTTAGTATCCATGACCTCACGGGGTGGGGCTAAGGACAAAGAAATGACAGAATGCTTCTCTAATTCAGTGCTGAGGGTTTCAAAGGAGGCGAGAAGCTTATCCGGTGGAACCATGAGATTAGATTCCGCCAACTTCTTCTGGTACAACTCTTGCATCTGTTCGTGCATTTGGGAGGCTTCGCGCTTCTGCCACTGAGGCTCAATCAAGCAGAGAATCGTGTCATTGGGCAGATAATCGGAGAGCAATTCGGTTTCCGGGACGAGCATCGGCAAAAAGCCCTCTATTCCATCATTAAGCGGGCATTCCTGAAGCCAATTTTGAGAAGATGCCACTTCTGTTAAAGATTGTGTTATCTCCCGGACAGTGTTTATCAGTTGTGGCGTCGCGTGTTCTTGAATGAGGGCATCCGCTTGGGTTTGCCAATGATCAACAGATACATCAGCAGAAAGGACTTCCCGCAAGGGTGTAAGTGTAACCGATTCGATTGGTTCAGTTGAACGTTGCGAAATCGGATCGAAAGCACGGATCGTATCAATTTCATCGCCAAAAAACTCGACGCGCATTGGGGTGTTGGCAGTAAGCGGATAGACATCTAAGATGTCGCCTCTGCGTGCAAATTCGCCTTTGACTTCTACAAGTTCAACGTTTTGGTAGCCTCCACGGATAAGCATGGCCGCAACATCGTCTGGATCTATCTCATCTCCAATATTAAGGACGCGACATGCCTCGGCAAATCGGTGGCGCGGCGGGAGCCTATAAAGCATCGCTTGACTTGATGTTACAATGATGCTTCGTTCTTTATAGAGTAAGTGTTCCAAACATCGAATTCGATCAGCGACGGTTTCCCTGGGAGGCGAGATGCCATCAAAAACTTTTCGGTGCCAGCCGGGAAACAGATTCATTTTGGACTGCACATCGAGCATACGTGTCGCTTCTGAAGCCGCTGATACCGTATATGTACATATCTCTTCTAAAACTTGCTCGGCTTCACGTTGTGAAGGAAGGACAATCAGGAAGGATTTATTTGGAAAATCGTCAATGAGGGTTGCCAAAAGATACGCCGTTGATGCGTTTGCCAATCCTCTGAGCCATGGAAGTTTCTGGTTTCCAGCTCTGAGGTGTGCCACCAGTGTTTGATAATTTTCTGTTTTGCGTAAAAGCTCTATCACTATTTTTAATTTTCCTTGCGATTAAACGACGTGGCTTGTGCTTGAGCGTCTTTTTCTTAAATCCGCCTTCCATTTCATTTCAGGCTACGGTCCGTTACTACGTTACTATACTACGTTACTATTTTATGTAGGACTTACGCATGTTGCTCTTTTGTAGCATAGACTGTTAGTCTGTGCCCTGGAACCAACTGTGTTTTTTACAGGTGCCTCCATCTCACAACGCGGGCTATGATCAAAATTGCGTAAGTTACGCATGTTGCTCTTTTGTAGCATAGACTGTTAGTCTGTGCCCTGGAACCAACTGTGTTTTTTACAGGTGCCTCCATCTCACAACGCGGGCTATGATCAAAATTGCGTAAGTTCTGTTATGGTAGGTTTTAGAATTAAGGATTGGGTAACCTTCAGTCCGAGAACTTGGTAAATTCGATGTCGGCTAAAGTGACTTTCACTGTCAATTGTCCTATTTTGCTCTCCGCTTTGACAGGTAACCGACGTTCGTCGTCCGTGAGCCAGAAGCGGTCGCCTGCCGAAGTTTGCAGGACGAGCGTTTTGACGATGCCCAATGCCTTACTTTTTACTATCTCCCTACGCTCAACAGTGAGCGTAACCTTCTGGACCTTCCCCTTCGCGATGATCGGAAAGAAATAAGTTTTACCGAGCTCGAATTGTTTAGAACGTAGAAAGTAGAGTGTTGACAGTTCATCCTGTGTGCCAATGGGTATTTCTATGACCTTTGCCTCGCGTTTTTCAGACGATTTCGGCTTCGGGCGTGAGATTTTTTCATATTCTGCGGTTTCCTCTCGAAAGTCAACTGTGACGGTGGCGCGATATTTTTGATCCTGCAACTGGTTCCGAAAGCGGACGGGTGAGAGGGTGATCGGATTTAAATACGTTTCCTCTTGTCTATGGAAACTATAGACTCTGAAAAGTGCCCGGGTTTTCATTTTAGACTGGATGCGATAAACAGCCTGCCCGTCCATTGACTCCTCTTTGACAATCCAATCTGTTCGTCGGGCGGCAGGTATTTTTTTCCAACTAATATCATAGGTTAATTTTTCCCCCACCCTTAGCGGATTGGGAGAGATATTTGGACTTTCAACGAGTGAGCGGGAGGCACTGTTTACGGCAAGAGTTCCTATAAGTAAAAAGATGAAAATTAGATGCTTTGCATACTGCAAACTTTTTGTCCTCACGATTCTTTAATTATACCTTGTGGTTAAACGACAAGGCTTGGGGATTGATCGTTCTCTTCTCAGGAGTCGCCCTCCATTTCATTTCGAGTTAGGTTTTTGGTGGAATAGAAACCACCGGAAACCATCAGGTAGGAGCGAACTGTGCTCGCGACTCTTTCTGAATGCTGACTGCTGACGGTCTCCGACAGCCATTCCACAGGTGTTAGAACCTATGTGTAAAGATTAGAGAACTGATGCCACTACCCCTTTGTTGCACTTGTACGGAAAATCTTTGATTATTATACGCCTCGGCTGTCTTTGGAGCATCAAAAATATTCCAAATGTGGATTCCGATGCCTGTTGCGAAAAGAACACCGCTGAGAAAAGCGTGGTTCTTCATCCGAGTGCGTCCCTGCTCGTACGATAAGAATTCACCTGTCCGGATGTCTTGAAATCCTGTCTCGAAAACATCTTGTTTGTTGTAATGCAGGGCGCGTGCGAAGTTGTAGCCAGCAAGTGCGAAAGTCCCTAACTCGGCAGTAAGGAAAAGCGTCGCTTTTGTATAATTGCCGGCGTAAGCTTGTCCCAATCCGGGCATAAAAGTTGACAGTCGCGACGCTTTTTCGAGATCAAGTGCTGGATAGTAGCGTTCTGCGTGCATACGAAACAGCGGATAATCCGATTCAGTTTCAGGCGTATCCAAATAGTTAGGCAGAAGCGGTTGCGTTCTGTAATTTTTAGCGTCAGATTTTTCATCAGCGGGCGCGATTTCAGCGTTTACCGAAACAGATCCGGTGATGAAAAGAAGCAGAAACGCAAGAAGTATATATAGCGGCGGCACCCCTACCGCTCCAATTTTTTTTAGCATGAAGCACACTCCTTATCAAAGGGATCTTGAGAGATGGAGCCAATTGTACGTTATCCGGATCGGTTTGGTACGCCCAATCGAAGATGACAGCATCATCAGAAATCTTGCGCACCTGAATTTTGGCGAAGTTTCCATCAAGTGTATAGATGGCATAGATATGCCCTTCAATCAGTTCAACAAATAGCGTCGTATACCCAAATTCCGGAACAATATCAACGCCATCAAAGTATTCATGATAACCCAAATCTTGCATGAATGTTTCATTGTCGGAATAGAGGTAGGTGACATTGACTTCAGTATCAAAACCAAAATAGACATCGGTTGCGGGTGTGTCCCACGGGATACTTCCCTTTTGCGGTTGTGAGAAATCGAATCCGCTTCTATCGGGAAAAAGGTTGTAGTCGTCAAGGACAACGTTCCGTCCTTCGGGTCGCGGCGTATCCGAAGCATCTTCGGGACTCAACTCGCTCTCATTTCCGTCAGCGTCATAAGCAGAAACAGCGTAGTAGTAAGTCTCCCCGTTTCGCACCGTCGTATCTGTATAACGCGTGGCACCATCCGATACCTCTACTAATGCATCAAAATTTGTGCCGTCGCGTCCACGCCACACTGTGTAGCCCGCCAAGTCGTATTCGCCGTTAGGATACCATTCAACGATAACCTGTTCATCACCTGTGATGGTTTTGACCCCGCGCGGCGTGGCGGGTGGCTCATCATCAGTATCGCTGGTATCAACATAACATCCACCGATATTCCCCAGTAACATAACAAAGAGTAGTATTGTGAGAATTCCGTTAATTTTGAATAACATAATCTATTTCCTCCAGAGTTTGAATTGTGTTGAACTCTGTAACGGATATCCTCTTAAATGCGTTGACAGGCTCTTTATAAAATAATATCACAAAAGGCTTGGAAATGCAAGTCAAAGTTTCCCTATGATAGGGCTATTCAGTTTTCCATTCTTCGGTCTGGTTTTCGCTCCAGACCCGGTAGGTGCGGTTTCCCAACCGCACCGGATCGTCCAAAAAAGGCGTGAATCCCGATAATTTCTTAAAACTGAATGCCCTTATCACCATAAATCTCCCAATTGACATTCCGTCCAGATTGTGATATGATATGCGGAGAGACTCAACACAAAGGAATTATTATGAAAACTCTCTTGATTCTGCGGCACGCCAAATCCAACTGGAATTATCCAGACCTCTCTGATTACGACCGACCTCTCAATGCACGGGGTAAACGGGATGCGCCGCGCATGGGGGAACATCTGCGTGAACAAGGGGTAATTCCCGACAGGATCCTCACTTCATCAGCAAAGCGTGCAAGAAAAACCGCGAGCAAGGTGGCAAAAGCGTGCGGTTATACCGGGAAACTCAAAAAAATTAGACGTGTTCTATGATAGTGTCGTTGGGGTCTACTATGAAACATTACAAGCATTACCAGACAAGTATCAGCGCGTCATGGTCGTCGGACATAATCCGACAATGGAACTACTCGTAGGCTACTTGACTGGACAGACCAGACCGATGCCGACGGCAGCACTTGCCCATATCGAACTTCCCATCCAACGTTGGGAAGCACTGAACTTGGATACAGAGGGAACCTTAGTCAACTTATGGACACCCAAAACGCTTTTCACCGATTGAGCCAATTGTTATCAATGGTGACGCTTCTCCTACTTGCGGGATTTGGCACACTCTGTAAATCTTCCTTGGCTGAAATCCCGGTTTCGACAGCCAAAGATGGACAGTTTCTCCCATGGGTTGTGGACGATGGTGAGGGTGGCGTTATTGTTATGTGGGAGGATTACCGCACCGGTAAGGATTGGGATGTCTACGCCCAGCGCGTTGATAGCAGTGGCACAACGCATTGGGAAGAAAATGGGATCGCAATCTGCAGGGCGGATAGGAATCAGCGGCGGTTACGAATGACTCGACACGAACAGCATGCGATCGTTGTCTGGAACGACAGGCGCGACAGAAGTAATTGGGATATCTATGCCCAAGCGGTGAATCTTGAAGGCGATGTGCTTTGGCAAACAGATGGCATACCTGTCTGTGTAAACGGGGCAGATCAATCGACACAAGCGATTCTGAGCGACGGTGAAGGCGGTGCCATCTGCGTTTGGGAAGATGAACGCCGCAGTTCCGAATTCCAAGATTTGTACATCCAACGGATCAATGCTAAAGGTGAACCGATGTGGGAACCCGACGGAATACCGGTTTTTCCATCGGAATCTCTCCAGAGCGATCCGATTCTGCTTGCAGACGGAGTTGGTGGCTTCTATGTGGTCTGGTGGGATGTCATCGGGTATGACGCTTGGCACATCATGGCATACCGACTGAGCTTAGACGCGAAACCGTTGTGGGACGCGCCGCGCCGCATCTCGCCAGCAGAAGGGACGCAAGGCGAACCGCGGGTGATCGCTGATGGTGAAGGTGGATTCATCGTCTTGTGGCAGATTTACGAAAATTTTATCAACGATCAGCTTTACGCACAGCGGGTTGCACCTGATGGTCGTAAATTGTGGCAGGACACGGGTGTTCCGCTTTGTACTGCGCAGGGTATCCAGAAACACGCCTCGGTTGCGAGCGACGGAGAAGGCGGTTTTATCGTCGTCTGGCGAGATGAACGTGATGTTTATTCGGATTTATATATGCAGCGTATCCGTGCCGATGGAACTCTCGTCTGGGAGAGGGATGGTATCCCTCTTTGCACTGCAGGTGGACATCAGGACAAGCCTTTCATCGTCCAAACTGCAGAAAATCGGTTCTCTGTGGTGTGGTTAGATTATCGAGAAGATTTCGGTGAAGAAAGCAGTGACGCCATCTACCGCCAGCAAATTGATTTGGAAGGTAAACCGTTAGGGGACAGAAACGGGATTGCTATCTCTACAAGTGAGGGGAAACATTATCCGCCGTTTGTGGTAACCGTTGGAGCGGGAAAGTGGATTGTTGTCTGGAGCAACACCGAGCAGGACAGCGGGGATATCTATCTTGAACGGTTTTAGGCGGGTTCTCTGGTCATCTCAATGAGATTCGCGCCTTCTAATCCGACGCGGACATCTTCATCATAACTCGTCACGACGACTTGATGTTCTTCAGCGAGCTGACGGATAAAACCTACCATCAACGCCTTGCGTTCTTCATCTAAGTGGAGCGTCGGATCGTCGAATACGAAGAAGCCGGGGTTGCCTAATACCTTGGCGAGGGCAACTTTGAAGCAGAGATAAAGGAACATCTTCTCGCTACCGCTGAGCAACATCAAACTCCGATCAACACCATCTATCGTAAGCGAAGGGAGTAAGTGTTGGCGTTGTAAGTCAACGCGAGTTTGTCCCCCGCTCCCGCGAGAAATAGACCCGCTCCCGCGAGAACTTGAAAAGAGTTGCATCTTCTCAAGCCAATGGTGTAACTCCTCTTCAGCGGGTTTGAGGATCTGCCGTTGGAGGGTTTCGATGGTTTTGTCAACCCCAGCGCAGGCGAGTTCTAAACTCAGGAGGGTCTTTTCAACCTTAGCGGCGTCTGTGTTAACTCGCTGGAGTACGCCAAGCCTATCTAAACGGACAGCCTCTTGCTGCTTGAGGTGTTCAAGCCGTTTCCGCTCCTGATCAATTTGGGCTTTCAATTTCGGTTTGTCTAAACCTGTGGATGCTTCGGAAGGCAATTGTCCGCCTTCTTGGATGCCTCTTTCAGCCAACCGAGAAGACACCGTGCTGAGTTCGCTCTGAACTCCCTCAATTTCGCCGGAGTGCTGTTCAAACTGTGCTAAACGTCCCTTCAAAGTCTGGAGCCGCTGTTCAAGCTCACGCCGACTCTCTAAATTCTCGGTTTCTGTCTTTCAATGATTGCTTATGGGTATCTAATTCGGTGCAGCGTTGCGATTTTTCGGCTTCCTTTTCGTCAATAATTTGTTGAACGACCTCGCGCTCAACCTTCTGATAACAGGTTGGACAGTGCTGTTCATCGTCCTCAATCAGGGTGCGGAGGGTGTCACAGACAGTCGTCAATGCCGAAATCTGTGAATCAAGGCTGCCAATTTGCTGTAGAAATTCCTCTCTTTTCGCTTCTAATCCGATGGCTTCCTGAATGCTATTTTCGATTTTAGTTATCATTTCGCGTAACGGATCGATGTCTTTGAAACCGCTCAACGTCCCTTGTTGCTCGTGTGTGAGCGTGTCCAATCGCTTTTGCAAACGGTTCTGGTGCTGTAGCCATTCTGCAATTAATGCGGCATCCCCGGTTTCGGCACTGTATGCGACTTCCAAGCCCTTTAACTTTGTTTCTATTCGTTCAACCTCAGCGTCGCTCACATTCTGTGCATTGAACCGCAAACTATTTTGATGTGCCCGAATTCTGCCCTGTTCACGTTTCGCGATGCGGCGTGTGTCAATGAACCGTTCCCGTACTTCAATTAATCTGTCAATACCGAGGAGTGTGTGGAGAATATCGCGCCGACTCGTGGATTGACGGGCAAGGAACTCAAAAATCTCGCCTTCGCGTAGGAACGTGGTGAGAGCAAGTTGCTCGTGCATAATACCAAATCGCTCTTGTAACAATGTTTCCGTCACCCGAACACGATTCTCATCAAAGACGATCTGCCACGCGCCATTTTTTTCTGAACGGAGTTGGATGCGTTTCCCCGTCCCGCGGTAGAGTAGGTATCGCTCACCATCTGCGGTGAATTGGAGACCTGCCGTGCCGCTGTAGGCTTTGGCGTTTTTTATAGCGGAGGTATCCACGCGTGGGACAATCGGTTTTCCGGTTAATGAAAAAAAGATTGCATTGACGAGCGTGCTTTTCCCACTGAAGTTGGGACCGAAAATGAGATTGATGCCGTCGTGAAGCTCAAAATCGCGCTGTTGGAAACAGCCGAAATCCTTAAGGCGGATCCGTTCTAACTGCATATCAGTCGTCTTTCTTTTGGTGAATGAGGTCGTAAAGCATTTGGGCTCGGACTTTCTCACGCCCATTCGTCAAAGTCAGTTCAAATGCGCCCACAATCGCTTCAATTTCAGCGGGACCGAGGGCTCTATACTTCTCTTCCCGCTGAATCAATGCCTCAATTTCTTTTCTGTAAATATGTTGCGTCTCGTTTTCAAGGGAGATGTCCATTTTTAATTATACCTTGCGGTTAGATGACGTGCGTCTGAACTTTGACGTGCGTTTCTTAAATCCGCACTCCATTCCATTACGTGCTAACGTTTTCGGTATCTTGAAACTCAGTTATTTGTAGCGTGTTCTTCTGCGTAGTTGTTTTCAGATTTTTGTTTTAATCTGCATCAACCGTCCAGCGGCTTCTGCGAGGATGTCGTCCGCCATACTAAACATGAACCGAAATTTCGTCCTGCCGAGGTGTGGACGACTGTAGAAACTCGATCCCGGCACACCGCCTACCCCGATTTCTTTCACCAACCAATTCGCAAAGGCTGTATCATCAGGAAACCCAAAATCGGTGATGTCGGTCATGATGTAATACGCACCCTCCGGCTCATGACAATGGAACCCGGCTTTCGTGAGATCATCAACGAGGCGTTTACGATTCTTGTCATATTTCGCGACCAAGGTTGCATGGTAACTCGGCGGCAAATTAAGGGCAACGACGCCAGCACGCTGAAGCGGATGCGGTGCCCCAACTGTCAGGAAGTCATGCATTTTGCGGATGGCATCGGTCAAAATCTCCGGGGCGATGACATAACCCAATCGCCATCCTGTCATGGAATATGCCTTGCTCAATCCCGACACGGTAATCGTCCGATCCCGCATTTGTGGTAGCGAACCGATACTGAGATGGGGTTTTTCATCATAGATCATGTGCTCGTATATTTCATCGGTAATAGCAAGGCAGTCGTATTCACAGCAAAGGTCAGCAATCCCTTGAAGCTCGTCTTGGGTGAAAACCTTACCGAGTGGGTTATTCGGGGTGTTTATAACGATTGCTTTTGTGTTGGCAGAGAAGGCATCTCGGAGTTCGGTCGCGTCGTAGGTAAAGCGGATAGTACCGTCAGATGCGGGTGTCTCCTGCAACGCTACATAGACGGGTTTTGCACCAGAGATGATGGTATCCGGTCCGTAGTTCTCATAAAAGGGTTCAAAAATGATAATCTCGTCGCCGGGATTGATGATCGCGAGAAGCGAGGAGAGCATACCTTCGGTTGAACCGCAGGTGACAGTGACGTTTCTGTCGGAATCAGTGGGGATGCAGTTAAAGGCCGTCATTTTATGAGCGATTGCTTCACGAAACGCCGGTGCCCCCCATGTAATACTGTACTGATTATATCCGTCTTGGATTGCTTCAATCGCTGCGGCTTTGACTTCTGGAGGGGGTTGATACGCTGGCGTGCCTTGGGAGAGATTGATTGCATCATAGCGCAGGCAGAGTTGCGTCATGCCGCGGATGACGGATTCGGTGAAACGGGTGGATTTGTCTGAGAGTTTAGATTGAACGGAAATCTTGGTTACCTCTTTTTAATTTTACTTTGCGGTTAAACGACATGGTTTGGGGATCGATCGTTCTCCGCTCAAGAGCTGAGGAAACACCCAAGCAAAAACCCCTCCACTTCGTTACGGACTAAGTTGTTGGTGGAACGGATTTGATTTTTTTCCATCAGCAACGGCACACGTCTCACCTTCATCAATATTAATACACTATCAACACCTATACCTCGGTTTTATAACTCAAAATAATGCCGTCGTCTAAAGGAATGTCAACAGAGTGTAGTCTCGGTGTGCTAAAGACGAATTCAACATAGTCAGGCATTTCATCGCGCATTGTTACGGTATCATCAGCGACAATCAGACCACCAGGACGGATGTTAGGCAACGCCAATTCGAGATAGCGTCGATATTCATTTTTCTCCGCGTCAAGGAATACAAGATCAAAGATAGCATCGCATTTCGGTATTTCGTCGAGTGCATTTCCGACACGCATTTCGACGATACTGTCTAACCCGACTTCCTGAAGATGCGCCTGCGCTTCTTCTGCCCGTTTCCGATCAAACTCAAGGGTGATGAGCCTACCCCCCGTCTCTTTCAGTGCGGCAGCAAGCCAGATTGTGGAATAGCCGTTGCTTGTTCCGACTTCAAGCACATTTCGCGCCTGAATGGCATGGATGAGGATGGAGAGAAATTGCCCATTTTCCGGCGCGATGTTGGTATAGTGTTTTGCTGTTTTTTCAAGGCGTTTTAGGACGGATTCGTAATTTTCCATGGTGTCTGGGTTTCGCGGGCTTTTCCATAAAGAAAGAGGCGACAAAAATTGCCGCCTCGTTTCAGTTAGCGAAGTTTCTTAATTTTGCCCCAAGATGTGGCGAGTTTATCTTTCGGATTGACAGCCAAAAATTCATCAGCCCCCATCTCCATACTCTGTTCCATCTCGTCATCAGAGAGTACGCGATTCCAGAGCCGAACCTCATCAACAATGCCGGGCCACGCTTCACCAGCCCACGTGCCCGATCTGAATTTGGCTCGTTGCTCCTGCAGGTGCGACAGGATTGTTAGAGTCCTGCTCGTGCGTGACTTCGCCATCCACATAAATCTTAACCTTGCCTTTGTTGTCCGATGTGTGGGTATAGGACAGATAATACCACTTACCGGTATCAAGGGCAGTTTTGTTATCGTTGATGTCCAAAAACCCACCACCGGCACCATTCGTCCAAACTTTGATACCGTTTCCGGGGTTCATCCCGTAGCCGAATCCGATGTGTCTTCCACCACCACCCATGCGGGTGCCAAAAACGATAGCGTGTGCACTCGGGAGTCGGTCAAGATTAATCCCATGCGGCTTGTGTGATTTCGTCTTCAATATGGAAAACCGCGTCGTCCTCAACAGCGACAAAATCGCTGGACGCGCTGAATTCAAGAGCCTTTCCGAATTTACCATCAACCCACTTGGGGCCGCCGCCAAATTCACCTGTAAAGCCGTTTTCGGAAAAGTCATCAACCTTATTGCCAGTACCTTCATCAAGCGGCATGTACAGAACAAGCCCTTCCATCAAATCAGCAGCGGCAAACGTGTTGAAAGCCAAGGCGAGAATTAAAACAATAAACAGTTGTCTCATGATTTACCTCCATAATAGATAGTTATACGTATAATAATACCACAAAGTGTAGCACCTGTCAAGAATGTTTCCATTGTGAATCAGAGATTCAGTTTTCATTGGAACAACTGCCAGCTTCTACCGGGTAGGTCGGCGCGGAACACTTCTACATTACCTCTGTCCGCCATTGTAACGTAACACGTGCACCCATCTGGACCACCGAAAGCAATATTGGAACAGAGTCTACCCGTTAACTGTACTTCCAACAACACTTCACCTGCCGGTGAGAGTTTCGCGACTGTGCCTTTGCCGTGGCGGGTGACATAAAGGTTGCCTTCAATATCGCATCGCATTCCATCCATACCGAAATCGGGGAACTGAATCAGGAGGCGTTTGTTGCGAATCTCCCCTTCAGCGGGATAAGTCGTAAGCCCAGATAGTTACGTTGCGCGGATTCGTTGACATAAAGCACCCTTTTCATCGGGACTCACTTCGATGCCGTTTGTGGTTCCCATATCTGCTTCCAGTAGTGTTACCTCTCCATCTGTGTCCACTCTCCAGATTTGCCCGGTTGACGCGCCCCAATTTGGATCACTCGCATAGAGGATATCGTTCGCACCGATGGCGATATCGTTGGGTTGATTCATTGTTGCTTCGTGCGCATGGACAGTGATGTTCCGTGTGTCCATATCCACCTTGAGGATATTGTGGTTCGTGTAGTCAGCAATGAACATAAAACCTTCGCTGTTGAAGCGGATACCGTTGCCGATGCTACCGGTTGGAAGTTCAACAAAAACGCTGGCAGTGCCATCGGGTGTCACCTTGCCGATAGTGTGCTGCCGTTCATAGTTAACAGCGTATAGGTTCCCCGCTGCATCACAGGCGGGTCCCTCGATTCCTGATGTAAATCCGTTAACGGGTGTAAATTCCCGACTGACAAAAAGTTCATCATTCATTTCTTGACTCCTTAGGTTTATGTTACAGGAACAGCATGAAAGCAGTGTACTTGGAAAAGTGTCTACAAACAGGGTTAAGGGGCTTTTTTCAGTTTGCGGTGCAGAGCACAAATACACCTGTATAGGCATGCGAGAAGTTGCGTCCACCGATCGGTGCGAACTCCGAATTCCCGAAAAATCCGATAACGGGAAGTCCTGGAAACTTCTCTTGGATAACACTGATGTCGTGATTTGCTGTGCCATATAGCCCCTTACCACGACCTAAGCAGTTGAAATAGAGTCCGAATGCGGGTGGATGTTGACGTGTTTTCTCCGCTAATTGTGTGAGAATCGCCTGTATTTCTTCTGCGGCGGCGTTTGGATTCCGTAGATGGAACTGCACCAATTGTCCTTCCGTTACCTCCTCGGATACAGCCAGTGCAGCATGCTCCTCATTAATACCGACAAGATTACGAATCAGAAAATCACCCCGGATCGGATTTTTGTTTTCAGGATCCATTGCGATACCGACGAAAACCGTGCCACCTGAGCGACGAATATCGTCTTGGGTTAGCAGTTGCAAGGTCCCTTTAAAGTTCTCCAATGCGGGTTCACCATCTAATTCAAAAATAACGCGCCCCTCCGCTCTTGTGATCTCGCGCGGTTTACCGATGGGTTGACATCCTTGGGCAACGCCGATCTCTGTGTCGAAATCACCAGTTAAGAGGATACCCGTCAGCCCACCTTCTGTTGCCTCTTCTCCTTTCCAATGATACATCTGTGCCCCTGTTGCATCACCAGAAACAGCGGCACCCACGACAGGAAGCGCGGTCCCATCGCTACCAATATGCGTCACGAGTTCTGCTGGGTTCACAGCCCGAACATCGGGGAAAGATTACGAGAACGGAGCCATCACCGAGTCCAGACTGAATGTCTTTTTGTATCTGCTCGCCCACTTCAGATGCCGTGCCTCGCGCGCTAAACGATACTGCTGAAAGTTGCTCGCTACGGATAACCATGACTGCGAGAGCCGGTTCTTCCTCAAACTCTCCTGCTGAAGTCAGGACGCTCATCCCACTACATCCGACGAGTTCATCACAATTGGAGTTCGATTGAACCGCTTTGTACAAGTCCTCATATTCCGTTTGATAGTTGATGGTTGCAAATACAATGGCAAGGTCGGCTTTGGCGATACCTGCGTTTCCCATTGCCATCAGTGTTGCGCGCTCCGCTGCTTCCACAGTTGAGAGGCTTTGCGAATGTCCCACACCCACATGAATCATCTGGCTCACCTACCTTTTTGCGATAATAATACAGTATCCACGAGAAAAGGTCAACAATTTGTATAAACACACTAAGGCTATTGAGTTTTCCATTCTTCGATCTGGTTTTTGTCACAGGCCCCGGTAGGTGCGGTTTTGCGGCGTACTCGCCCAAATCCGATCTGCATTCCTAACCGCATATTCCCCAGGTCCGGTAGGTGCGGTTACAAACCGCACCGGATCGTGAAAAACAGGTGTGAAATCCGATAATTTCTTAAAACTGAATGACCCTGTACGCCTCGAAAAAACAGTGCGTGAAAACAGAGATATATGGTATACTAATCATCATATAGCATATCGTGGTAGAATGGGCAGAAGCACTTGGTTTTCTATCCTATACTCAGCAGTCTGCTGTTTAGATGAAGCGTCGTGACCCGTCGTCCCTCCTACCGGAGAACCGAATAATTCTGCGATACCACATTGCGTCAAGAGATGCGTAAATTGGAGGAAAAGGGATTTGTCAGCAGAACTCCTTAACGGTAGTCAGCTTGCGAAGCGCGTCCGGAGCCAGATCCGGCGAAAAATAAAAAAACTCACGTTTACTCCAGGCCTCGCTGTTGTTCAAGTAGGTGATGATCCTGCCTCAACGCTCTATATCAAACACAAACAACGTGATTGTGAAAAGGTGCATTTCCACTCCGAAGTCCATCACTTACCAGCAGATATTAACCAAGACACCCTGATTGAACACGTTGAGAACCTAAATGAGCGAACGGACATCCATGGAATACTGGTGCAAATGCCACTCCCAGAGGGCATAGATAAAGAGGTAGTCATCGATAAGATTAACCCACATAAAGATGCAGATGGATTGACGCCAGTCAATTTAGGGAATCTCCTCATCAACCGCGAGGGTGTGACACCTTGTACACCCACAGGGGATTATCCGCCTAATTGAATTGACAGGTGAACAGATTGAGGGCAAACATGCCGTCTGTATCGGTAGAAGTCCGCTGGTTGGCAAATCTGTTGGGATGATGCTACTGAATCGAAATGCTACCGTTACGTATTGCCATTCCCGAACGGTAGACTTGACAGCGGAGGTTCAGAAAGCAGACATTCTCGTCGCTGCTGTCGGTAGACCGGAGTTTGTAACTGCAGACATGGTGAAGCCCGGTGCTATAGTCATCGATGTCGGTATTAACCATGTCAATGGACACGCTATCGGGGATGTTAAATTTGAGGAAGTTAAAGAGGTGGCTGGATTTATTACCCCTGTTCCGGGCGGTGTTGGTCCTATGACACGCGCAATGTTATTAGAAAATACTTTGAAATTAGCGATTGGAGGCTAAAATATGGCGTTTCCAGGATTTGAATTGAAAGATAAGATAATGTTAATCACGGGTTCCGGCAAAGGTATCGGCAGGGGTATTGCGCTCGCTGCTGCTCAGATGGGGGCGAAAGTCATCTTGAACAGCCGTACCCTCTCTGATCTTGAGGAGGTCGCGAGTGAGATCCGTGCGAACGGAGGTGAAGCAGAGTCGGTTGTGTTTGACGTTAGCGATATGGCACAGGTTGCGACAGGCGCACAAGCGGCACTCGATGTTTGGGGTAGAGTAGATATCCTCGTCAACAACGCAGGTACGAACCGTCCGAAACCCGCGCTTGAGTTAACCGAGGAGGATTGGGATGCGATCTATGATCTCAATCTTAAAGGTCTGTTCTTCCTAACGCAGGCACTCGTAAAACCGATGCTAGAGCGGGAAAACGGGAAGATTATCAATATTTCTTCGACAATGGGTTTGGTAGGCGGTCCGTTGCGGACTGCCTATTCAGGGAGTAAAGGTGGCGTTGTACTGCTAACGAAAGGGCTCGCCGTTGAATGGGCACCTCATAACGTCACAGTGAACGCTGTAGCACCGGCGTTTACGCGGACCCCGCTCGCGGATGTTCTTTTACAACGTAAAGAATTTTATGAAGACGTTATCCGCCGTATCCCAATGGGACGTGTCGGTGAAGTGGACGAGGTTGTCGGCGCGGTGCTGTTCTTAGCATCAGATGCCGCAAACTGGGTGACTGGGCAAACAATCGCCGTTGATGGTGGCTGGGTTGCTTGGTAATTTTCACAGTTCTCAAAATTGCAGGCGCGGTTCAAGCCGCGCCTATTTTTTGTACAATACCCCTGAAGATACACCATCAGAAAACAGGACGCGCGTATGGTATTCCACAAAGATTCAAAATTGTGCTATCAAAACGGTTCTACTGCTACGTAAATCCAGAACCTCATGTAATCCTTTTTTTGACACCATACACTACAATTCTTGCGTTATATACCACAATTGTTGCACACCCACAGTGAGAAGCGGATTGCAAGCAAACTTCGATCTCTCCCACAGACAATATTTTTTGAAAAACGAATGCTTTAATGAAGTCAGTGGACATCTGTATTTTAGGAGGATGCTAATGAAAAAACCGCTGAAATTTAAGCGGTTTCGATAGAAATTGTTGGCGCATTCAAAGGAATTGGCACGAAATTTGCCTAAATTAACAGCGTGCTGCGATTTTAATTTGAATAGATTTGTTAATTGAAAACCACTAATCAAACATAATCACAGCTCCGCAGTCGCGAGACTGCATGTATTGGATATAAACAATCGGAATGATTGAACATTTCATTTTACTCTTTTTCAACATAGTGTCGTTAAGACACCACACATCTACTTTAGAATTCACGCTTGGCTCAGTTCCACATGGAAACTGACAACCTTGTGTAAACTTTACCTAAAATAACAAAAACAGATAGAGGAAACTCTATTCTGGAGGAATATAAATGAAAACGTACTTTGTACTGGCATGCATCGCTATTGCGATTCTCTGCCAATGGAGCTGCTCTCCTGATGAAGAGCAGTCACAACTTGAAAATCCTGTGGCGGACGATCTAAGAACCGGGTTCAATGCTGCTCCCCTCTTAGGCAATGTCGTCTTGGAAAACATGTATGAGGATGAAGCGCGGAAACTGACAGATAAAACGCCTGTCCAAATAGTTACAGTGATTGAAGGGACGAGCAGAGTTGTGCTTCAGGCGCGGTTCCGTGGCGTTCGGGATTTCGGTTTCGGATTTCCGCTCTACGAGTGCGAACTGATGGACGAATCGGCTGAGGCTATGGGAGGCATCGCAGCAGGGATGTCGGGAAGTCCGGTCGGTCCTCCGGGACGTATCATGGGAGCACTTGCTTATGGTGCCTCCTTCTCGAGAGCCCCCACTCGGTTCTGGGTAACATCAATCGATGCGATGGAGGCTGCAATCGATCACCAAATGCTTGGCGAACTGCTTGATCAAGAACTTGCCCCGGCTGCCCCTACTGCAGGCATTAACGCCACCTATGTGCCAGTTAAAACACCTGTGATGATTACGGGAATACAGTCACACAGACTTCAAGAACTCTCTTCATATCTGGCAAACTCACGCTATAATTTCGTCGAACTCTTTGCTGATTTTGGTGCAGCGCCTGCCGCACCTCCAGCAGGTACCTCACTGAACCTTGCGCCAGGAGATATGATTGGTGCTGCTATAGCAACAGGCGACATTGCCAACGCAATAGGCTTTGGAACCGTGACACAAGTTTATGACAATAAATTTGTAGCGTTCGGGCATCCAATGTTTGGCGATGGAAAGTCCGCATTACCGGTGTATAGAGCCGTCACCAATGGCATTGTCCCGAGCTTCGCGGTATCCTATAAATCCGTCTCCGCTTACGGCAATCCAATCGGAACGGTAACAAAAGACCTCACACCCGCCATCGTTGGTGAACTTGGTTCGCCGCCACCTATGATTCCAGTCAAGACCTCTTACCATCCTGCTAACAGTCCAACAGCGATAGAAAAACACCATCGCGTGGCGTATGGACAAGAATGGTATATTCCCGCTTGTTGCGGCGATCACTATGGATGCCCTTCGGATGGAATTAAGCAATGCTACGGTGGACGGCACTGTTACACTCCAGTTTCAGGAAACCGATACCGTCTATACTGAACCATTCCGGAGTGCTTCTCCGGTCCCATTTCTGGATGTCCTGATAAACGTTGATCGGATCGTCCGGTCTTTCAGCGATACGCTTACAAACAGTGCAGGCAGAGCGACATTGAAAGCGGTATCCATCTCTATCACAGACAAACCGCAAATCACGAAAGCCGAGGTTGCAGAGGTTATCGCGCCTGAAGAGATTATACCGGGTGAGAGTGTTACAGTCTCAGTCATTCTCGTTCCTCACTGGAGTACTGCCGGCGAAGAGCGCACCATTCAGAGAGACATCACGCTTGAGATTCCTGAAGATTTTCCTGCTGGCGAAGCAAACATCAACGTTTCTGGAAGCGCATTCGACTTCGGAGACTTTGGCCCGCCGCCTGGTGCCATCTTAGATTTCGGATTTGGTGGATTCGGTGACGAAGAGGAAAGACCCGTACCCAAAAATCTGGATGAACTGATTGAACAGATGCTGGAAGATCAGGTGGATCCGGGTCTAATTACGGTAACCCTTGACACCATCCTTTGGTGGAGGCTTCCCAGGATTACCGCCAGACTTGCTACCCCCAGGGGCTTTCCCATTACCTGAAGGTTTCTTGCCACCAGAAGACGGCGAAATGCCTGAAGACGGTGAAGGCGATGGTGAGGAAGACGGTGAAGGCGATGGTGATGGTGAAATGCCTGAAGATGGTGAGGAGGACGGTGAAGGCGATGGTGATGGTGAAATACCGGGAGATTTACCATTCCCCGAAGGCTTCCCACCGTTAGACGGATTCCCGTTTCCAGAAGACATTGGACCCCCACCGACCGTTGAAGCGGAACTCACTATCGACGGCTTTATCGTGACGGGTTCCAGAGATACAACAGTCACGATAAAAGGGGAAGACATGGGTGATGACATGATGCCAGCAGAACCGGAACAACCCATGGAACCTGCCGAACCCGTAGAAGAGGAATAATTTCCAAGTAAGCGCGATTCCCGATCGCGACACATACATTTGTCTGGATAGGTTTATGTACCTATCCAGACTTCCCTCCTTTACTACACACTTTGACACACAACCGGTTTTCGTGCCACATAGCACCGCACAACGTCAATAATGAGTGCGATGTCGTGCCTTGCAGATTCCAGCGCAGTATAACACGGTTCACCTTCTGTGATACACGCATGGAAATGACGTAACTCCCGTACAAACGCGCTCTCCCATTCGACAGCCGGGGTCTTGCTATAGGTCGTGCCGTCGGGATCTATCCCGTGTATTGTTACCTCTGACAGGATACCCCGTGAAAAACCGGTCGGATAGGATACGATTACGCGTTTGGTATCACCGTAGATTTCCAACGTCTCTTTAAAGTCCCAAAGATCTGGCAGGTCAACCCATGTCGCGACACAGCGCGCGCCATTCGGATAGCCAAACACGATTGTTACACCGCGCCCATCAGACCAGACTTCCGCGCTAACCACCTCACTCGGTGAACCGAGCATTACCCGCAGGGTGTAAATGTCGTGGATCATACTGCCGGCAAGTAAGTAGAAGACTCGTGCTGCCTTGCTTTGGATGTCGCTTTCGAGTCCAGTTTGTGATAACAGGTCACCGATGGCTTCTGCCTGTGCTTTCTCACGCGCGACGCCAGCAGGTTTAAAAGCGTCCGGTGGGACATCGTTGAATCGTTCGACATCAAATTGGCTCAGGTGTAAACTATTATTCGGATGGAGATGGTTGATCTGCACAAATCGGTAACTCTCCATTGCATCCACTTCACGCTTGGCGAGTTGGAAGGCTGGATCATGAGCCTTCATATATCCGGCTTGTGCGACGGTGCCTGCCTCACGCTGTGCCGCGAGCATTGCATCCATCTCTTGAAGTGAAAAGCAGACGGGTTTTTCAATAAAAACATGCTTTCCCGCCTTAAATGCCGCGAGTGCGACTTCCGTCTTTGGATCACCGTGGCAAAGCAGGACAGCATCCACATCTGTGCTTAGCAATTCATCGTAATCTGTCACGAATTGCGGAACATGGAACCGCTTTGCGGCGGCTTGCGCAGCACTACGCGAAAGATCACAAACGATAGATACCTCAAATTCTCGATGAAGTGCGGTAAGATTGGGGAGATGATGTACTTGTGCGATTGCACCACATCCGATAACACCTATCCGTATACGACTCATATCTTTTACCTCCAACAGATAACGCTTTCTATGCGTTTATCGTATCATATACACGAAATAGATGCAATGTGTAGTTATCAGTTATCCAGGGTCATTTAGTTTTACATATTTACTTTATATGCGTGAACGTTTTTTCGCTGTAGGAGCGAGCTGTGCTCGCGATAGTGCGCGAAAACCTTAACATCTGTGAACGAAAACCAAGATCGGAACCGAAAACTAAATAGTCCTGGATCCCTTCTACAGGGAGGTTGACAATAAAAGTTATAACTCTCATAATAGATGCAACAAATTGTGTGTAAGAACAGGGGTTATAGATATGGACATGGCAATAATTCCTTGGCAAATGGTACTTCTGTGTGGGTTGTCGGTTTGTGTTGGATGGGGGATACGTGGCAACTTCGGACATGAATATGGTGCGGCACTCGCTGGCGCGCTCGGAGCGATGGCAATTGTCCTACTCTCTGGACGAGAGGATTGGTGGCGGCATATCCATTACTTCGCGCTGTTCGGTGCCATCGGTTGGTCCTTCGGCGGAAGTATGTCATACATGATGGTCGTCGGGTACAGCCATTCTCCGCACGCACTGACGGTATTTTACGGGTTTGCGAATCTGTTCGCTATCGGATTCCTGTGGGCAGCTCTCGGTGGTGCTGGAACCGCGCTGCCTGCGTTCCTGACGCATACCCAATTGTCTCTCCTCTTTGTGCCGATCGCGGCAGTCTTCATCGGTTGGTCGCTTCAGGCGGTGATCATCGACCGGGTTCTCGCACCGAAACGGATGCGACGACAAGAGAGTCGGCTCTATTGGTACGATACAGACTGGGTGGCTGCGCTGGTGGCAATAGTCGCTGCACTTATTGTCGCGCTCTTCCGCGGCGGTTTGGACATGGGCACGAACCTCGTCCTGTATATGGGTGTCAGTTGGTTCGCTGGGTTTTTGTTGCTCGTAAACGTTTTCCGCCTTCGCATGACACCCCCGCGCGGGGACAACTGGGCAGGTTGTGTCGGCATGGTCATTGGGATCTTGGGGTATTGCTGGCGTTATGAACTCAGTGGTGTCGCTTTTGCTACCCTGATGACAGGTTTCGGAGGTGGTATTGCGTTTTCATTTGGACAATTGCTAAAACTCATCTACCTCCGGACGGGACTCCAAACGAACTGGCATAGCGTCATGGAACAGACCCAAGGCTTGTTATTCGGGCTTGGAATTGCTATACCGTTTGGTCTCCTTCTTAACCGAGCACCCCTCTTAGAAACCAATCCAAATTTTCCGCAGTGGACGGAAATATTCGCTGTGTTCTGTGTGATAATCGCTTTGACGTATGTCAATTATCGGAAGGCGGCACAAACATGGGTTGATTTGGTCGAAGGCTTACCGGAACGGTTTTTTGGTCTGCCTGTCGTCGGCTGGTTTCGGCATTCAAGAGGATGGATAGGTTGGTTTGAACTCTTCTATATCGGCATCGGTATCGCCTGCGTCTGGATTTTGTCGGTACATTTCCGAGAATCGCTTGCCTTTATCCCGACGACTTGGCTGGGGAAGGGGCAGTTGCTCTACTTCGTATTTCTATGGTGGGTGGTTATCTTCAACTTTGAACGCGCTTTAGTCGGTTTTAGTCCACATCGACTGGTAACGGAAGGTGTGATTACGCTCAACGCGATTATCTGTACCGTGCTGATGGCACTGGGTCCACTGGCGGTTCCAAAACAGACAGGGAGTCTCTTTTCATTCAATGAATGGGTTTGGCGGACATCGATCTGGGGTATCGTCGTGTTGGTAGGATCGACAGTTGTTTTCTGGGGAATGAAGCACGTCCTTTACGGAAAGGCACACGCGCCCGGCGCGGCACTCCACATCCGTTTCGGACCGGATTCCAATGCGCCGAAGGAGAAACCGAAGGCGGGAGAACGGCATCCGTAATGAGAAAGGTCGGGGTTATGAACAGCCGTCGGTTCTCCATCAGCAGTCAGAGAACAGCGGTGAGTGTTGGGAAAAATCCGGTGCGGTTAAAAACCGCACCTACCGTGATTGGGGAATTTTAACCGTGTGTATGTCGTTGGCGATACACCTGTCCACCTTTGACAACGACGACGGGTTCCAATATCTGTTTGCCAATTCTAACCTGATCGCTGGCATCTACGAGTTGGAATTCACCCTCGCGGAGTTCAAAAATCACCGCATCTCCCCACGCATCGACAGCCAATGTTCCAACCTGTCCCGGCATCAGGATGGTTTCTGCCGGAATGCTCGTGACTTTCGCTAAGGCATCGTCAAGCGACATGCCGAGATACAGGAATTTGTTGACGACATTCACGAGATCGTATACGGGACCGTGGACGTTATAGATGTGCAGATCGGACGAGATTGTCGTCGGTTCAACGCCTTGTGCCATCGCTTTCTGAACGACATCCCAACTGAAAGAACCTGCGCCGTGTCCAACGTCAAAGATAACGCCGCGTTCAATTGCGGCATGGACTGAGTCCCGAATCCTGCCGTTTTCGTTCAAGATGCCGCACCCCATATCGTGGAAGCAGTGCGTTAGAATATCACGCTCACCCATCAGTGCCAATATATCGTCTATAGACTCACACCAAGCGTCTTGCGGATGAACCATCAGGGGTAACCCTGCGGCATCGGCGGCTTCGCGCGCCCTATGCAATGGGAGCATGCCCGCTCTCGCGCCAACAATAGTCTCCCGCGTCAAACGGACCTTGACACCTAAAATGATGTCGCGGTGCTGTTCTATCATTCGGCACGCTTTTCCGACATCCGCATAGTCAGGGTTTTCCAATTCTCCGATTTCTTCGGTGAGCATGCCTTGTGAAGAGATATTCAACTGCGCAAGGATGCGTGTATCGCTTACGTCAATGACGTATTTACGGAAACCCGGAAATGTGTCTGCTCCCGCCGAACCTGCATCGACGACAGTCGTTGCGCCGCGTGCCAAGCAGGTAGGATCCGGCTCAATCCCGAAATGGCTTACGCCGTAGAAGACATGTACGTGTAAGTCGATTAAGCCGGGTGTAACGAAACACCCTTCAGCATCTAATACTTCTCGTGCCTCAGATGTCGGTATATCGTCGCTAACTGCCGAGACGCGTCCGTTCGCAAACGCCACATCTTTGCGCGCATGAATGCCCTGCGCCGGATCGACGACGGTTCCGTTTTTAATGATAAGTTCATAGTTCATAAGCGAAACCTTTATTTTATGAATTTATACGGAATTCTGTAATTATTTATACACCTTCGATCAGCCCAACCCCCTAACTCCCGCTTATCAGGGGGACAAGAAGGGTTGGGGTTAGAAGCCTCGCCAGCGAATATACAGGTTCGTTAGAACGTGCTTTCACGGTTTGTAATCGGACACCACCGCGCCATCAGTAAGTAGTCAAACAGTGCTGACTCCGCTTCTGGGGTGTCGATGCGTTTTAGGGCTAAGACGACGTTGTCTCGGACGTACCGATTTTCGTCGCTAAAGGCTTTTGCCAGCACTGGAACGGCATCGCTTGCGGCGGGTCCAATTTGTCCTAATGCTAATGCTGCTTCAAACCGCGTTTGGTCATCATCATCGCTCGCCAGCATATCGGTCAGGACAGGCACAGCGGAAGCGGCAATGGGTCCCAGACCTCCGAAGGCTTCCGCGAGATAGCGACGAACCTCAACGCATTCATCCTTTGTGCGTTCCATCAATGCCGGAATAGCAGATTCCGCTGGATTCCCTATCTGTGCTAAAGCGTAGGTGGCTTCGACCCGGACAACATCTTCGGTATGTTGTAACGCTTCGGTTAAAGCAGGGATAGCCGGTTCGCCGACCGCCGCGAGTGCGTACGCCGCTATCCGTCGTGTAGCATCGTTTTCATCACCGAGCGTATCAATCAGATGTGGAACGGCGGGTGCACCGATCGATCCGAGTGTATACGCGGCGTTCAAACTCACAGGCTCATACGGATCACGCAGTGCCTGGATGAGGAGCGGAATCGCCTCTGCGGCGGATTCACCCAACGTCCCCAAACCGTCAGCGGCACGGGAACGGACAGAGGCATCGTCATTGCCTAACGCTTCAATGTGCTTCGCTAAGTTTCCATTGGTTGGCTGTGTCGAATGCCCGTTGGACTCGCCTGCCATCCAATTCCAGACATGTCGCCACGTCCCTTGATGCGTGGGAGTTGCTGAATCAATATCTTCCAGTTTCCAGTGCGGATCCGTTACGTTCCACTCCGGTTTCTGCGGTGCGTCCATCCGAACGAACTGGAACTTCATCATGTAGCGCGTTTTGTCCGTCAGGTTTGCCATGGCGCGATGCCACAAGTCAAAGTGGATAATCGTTAAGGTGCCTGCTTCGCCACTGAGTGCTAATTCGCCATCGTTGTTTTCTGTGATCCGGGTGTTGTAATACTGTGTCCCCGGTAAGATGGCTGAGGGTCCAATTTCGAGCGGCGAGTCCTGTGGATAGTAGAACGCCATCGCCCAGCGCGGACAGTGGTGCCGGACTTTATGATAGCCCCAGTAACTATCCTTATGAAATCCCTGTCCATCGCTATGGGGACGATTCTGATGGGGGTGCCGATGGGAATGCATGGCGTAATTCTCGCCCAGAATACTCGTAAACGCGCCACGGACAGTAGGCTCCTCGAAAACGGCTTGCAATTCGGGGACGCGCGGCAAGATGTTGTTCCCCAAATTCCCCTCTTTCGCCGTGAGTTCCTGCGTCTTGCGATAGATGGTTTCATGGAAACTGCGCGGCAGATCTGCTCGGACAGTGAGATGTCCATTTACAATAAATTCCCGTATCTGCGCGTCGGTCAGTTTGTGGCTTTCCTTTAACTGTGAATTCGGTTGCATGGTCAAGTCTCCCTTTTAAGGGTTATCAGTTGTCGGTTGTCAGTTGTCAGTTTTAAAAAAGCATCGGGATTGAGAGGTACTCCTACAGAAGAACTTAATATTCCGCCTCTATTTTACTTGACATGAATTTATTTGTCATCTGTTTTATTTTGGTTATCAGTCTTCAGTTATCAGTTACAAGATGTTTTTGAGGGTATCAGAATCCTCCATAACCGATACCTGACAACCTTTAAGAGTCGGAATTCGGAGATCCATCCTACAAAAAAGCGGTCAACTATGGTGAAATCTAAAAATAAGTAGACCTCTTTGTAGCATAAACTTTTAGTTTGTGCCAATGTGAATGCCCCTTAGCGGCATTCACATTGTTTGAGAATGTCTAATTAACTCTAAAATCTACCATATTAGCCATCAGTTAGAATCGCGAGCAAAGCTCGCTCCTACATGGAAGAAGGAATCCGGATTCGGAGATTCCTCATACCGGAGAACTGAATCTCTCCATTCAAGATGCTGAATGTGTCGGATAGTTTAGAAGGTTGGAAAGTTGGCAGAAATGCAAAGTGTGAGTGAGGTTGAAAAAAGCAGCCATCTGCCCTTTGAAATGGGAAGGCACGGGTGGATTAGTTATCAGTTATCAGTCATCAGTAGAAGTCGATTGATAATAAAAACTCTTTAACTGAAAACCGAAAACCGAAAACTGACGACTATTACATTCCCTTCAAACGGGAAGGCACGTGTGAACCACAAAGGTCAACCAACAATTGAGCCTGAAGAAAGTTTCAATTCCCTTCAAACGGGAAGGCACATGTGAACCGACCCGAATGTGGCCATTAAACGGATTGATCAGGTTTCAATTCCCTTCAAACGGGAAGGCACGTGTGAACCGGCGGTGACGGTGGTAATAACGGCAACGGTAGGAGAGAGTTTCAATTCCCTTCAAACGGGAAGGCACGTGTGAACACGCCAAAGGCTCAAGGTCATTATGACCTCAGCGATAGTTTCAATTCCCTTCAAACGGGAAGGCACGTGTGAACTCCTTTCCCTTTGAGAGAGCTAAGCTTCTTTTGCAGCGTTTCAATTCCCTTCAAACGGGAAGGCACGTGTGAACACCTCTTAGTCTATCAATTCGAAACGAGGGAGGGGCAAGAAGTTTCAATTCCCTTCAAATGGGAAGGCACGTGTGAACGAGTTCCTTACGGCAGTAATGGACAGATACGAGGACGAAGAGTTTCAATTCCCTTCAAACGGGAAGGCACGTGTGAACAGCCCCTATTTTGCACCCAGTCGGGACGTGGCTCCGTACACCCCAAAACCAAACGCGAACTGCGCGAGGCTTTTTTTGCGCAAAAATTCGGGGCAAATATCCTAAAAACCCTTGTAAACACTGACCCAAACGCGATTTTTCAGCAAAAGAGGCTCGGAAGCCAGACCCCATCTGAGTTTTTGGGCAATTTCCGCCGTATTCGCACCCAATCAGCGAATCGCGTTTGTGTTTATAAATATACCCTAAATTTGCACAAATGTCAAACTTTTTTATAATCTTTTATCAAAAAATGGACAAAACACGTAATAATCGGGAAAGATATTGCTATGAACACCTACCAAGGCGGTAAACTTTGCGTGGATAGGCACTCATGCTCATCCACGCAAATTGATAAAATTCCCTTCAGGCACGAATAATATAGTAAAGCCTATAATTACTTGGACGCTCTAAAGAGGCGAGGATACAATCCTCGCCAGCGGCGGTGGGGTCGTTGTTCACTGACGAACTGTCCACATATTTTTGGACTTTACTATAAATGGTTTATATACGGGATCCTCACCCGTAACGACGCGAGCCAGATGCCTGACCTGAAGTTCAATACAACGAAGATAGGTCGTCTTCTCATTCCGTGTAGGGTGTTGAAACGTCTGTTGCATCCGACCATAATATCCAGTCAAGAATCGATCCAACGCTTCCTTGGTGAAACGGATACCTTTGTTCGTCTGTTCAAAATCCTCAGGGCGGACCCGATTGTTGTTGATGACGGAAAGCACATATCCATCGACAATAATCTGTCGGAACTCCTCCATTAAATCGGATGCTAATGCGGCGTGTCCATGCTTGGGTTGATGGAAATACCCACAGTACGGGTCTAACCCGACAACACTGATGAAGGCGTAAACATGATTATGCAGGAGTGTGTATCCAAGTGAGAGCATCGCATTAATTGGATCTGGGGGTGGTCGAAATTGTCGCGTGGTAAAGCCCCAATCGTGTCCCAGAAGTTGCCAGAACGCCCGATAATGTGCGGTGGCACCCGCACCCTCATATCCGAGAAGCGATTCCAAATTCTCGGCACGTTCAAGCTTTTCTGTGGCACGCCTCGACCTGGACGATAACCGAAACTACAATCTAAGAATTTTGCCTCGTAAATCGGGGAGATGAGATCACATACGGCACGTTGAACGATACGATCTTTCAAAGTTAGCACGGAGAGTTCTCGGGTGCCGCCGTTCTCCTTTTTCATCGTGAACTTTTGAACTGGAAGTGGATAGTAACGTTCCTCGGTAAGTTCACGCGAAAGCTGACGGAGATGTTTCGTAAGGTTTGCTTCAAACTGTTGAATCGTAACACCGTCGCTACCGGGACCGCCTTTGTTGGCTCGCACTTTTCGCCATGCGGCATGTAGTGTTTCAGGTTGGCAGAGCTGGCGCGCGAGTGAAGTGCTCGGCGTATAATCAAGCATGGAAAATCTCCTTTTTGTCTATACACGTGCTGATGCTGTACCTTAATTAAAAACTGGGGAATTACACTGAGTTAATTGGGAAAACGGCAAGACATGGGTCAAACGATTGTATAGAGTCTGCAACGAGTAAAAAGGATAGTAAAATTTTTAAAAATCGGTATACAGAGATGCAGACATAATTCCTAATGCCTCCGATGGTAAGCGATCTTCTGCTTGAACATCGGTTTCGGTTGTGCTATTATATCTGTTGTTAAATGGAGGAGATAACTCCTAATACAACCCATTAAATTCGGTGATGGAGATTAAAACAACGTGAATTATCGCAACATCTTAGAAAAAATTCGGCTTGCGTTTCCGCAACCTATAGCGGATCCTATCCATAACTCCTATTTCGTGCATTCTATTATGCGTGCCTTAGACCAGGTGGATGCATTAAAAACATATCTACCGATGCTCGGTAGCATTGTCCCTGCTGATTTTGAGGCGGCACGGCAGACAGTATTACCGGACGCGATGTCCTCGGTTGAGGATGTCACCGCCGACCTCGTGAGTTACTTGCGCGGGATGACTATCTTTGGACATCCACGTACACAACAGAATGTTGTCGCTCCCCCGACAATTCCAAGCCTGATTGGTGTGCTCCTCGCCTCTTTGTATAATCCGAATCTCGGCTGGGATGAATATAGTCGCCTTGTGGCGTTGGCTGAGGTTGAAGTCATCGGAATGACTTCAAAAATGATTGGGTATGATCCAGAGCAATCAGGCGGGGTGTTTACCTTCGGCGGTACCGGGACGACGCTCTACGGCGTGAAACTCGGCTTGGAAAAGGCATGCCCGGGGACAATACAAAACGGCACCTCTGAAGATGCCGTCGTGTTCGTATCAGACACAGGGCATTATTGTGCGTCTAACATTGTCGGGTGGCTCGGCATAGGGACAAACAATCTAATCACGATCCCGACGACCTTTCAAAACGAGATGGATCTTGAACGCCTTGAGCAAGAGGCCCGAAACGCACTCAGAAATGGCAAAAAGATAGCCGCTATTATTGCTACGTTAGGGACAACCGATGCGTTCGGGTTGGACAATCTGATGCATATCGTGGCTCTGCGAGAAAGGCTCGTTAATGAATTCAAACTCGACTATCAACCGCATATCCACGCTGATGCGGTAATTGGATGGGCATGGTCCGTGTTCAATACCTATGATTTCGAGGAGAATCCGTTAGGATTTCGGCCGGGTACTATCCGTGCTTTAGCGGGTGCCTACAGGCGCATCGAACATTTACATCTTGCGGATTCCGTTGGTATTGATTTTCACAAAACGGGTTTTGTGCCTTATATCTCCAGCCTCGTCCTCGTCAAGAACCGAGCAGATCTGGATTTGGTGAAACGCCATCCTGAAGAGATGCCCTACCTCTATCATTTTGGAGACTATCGCCCTGGCATGTATACGCTTGAGACCTCAAGAGCGGGGACAGGGGTTCTTGCCGCACTTGCGAACCTCCGCCTGTTCGGTGAAGAGGGGTTGCGAGTTATCCTCGGACACATCGTTGAAATGACGCAACACTTGCGCGAACATCTTGGCGGACAAGCCGGCACAACCGTGGTAAACCAGTATAATTTCGGGACTGTTACCCTCTTCCGTGCCTATCCAGATGGTGTGGATACCTTTGAAATCAAGGACATGGAATTTAAGGATGCTACCTATCGCGACAGTTTGCTTGCGCATAACGACTACAATCGAAAAATTTTTCAATACGTGCATTCAGAAGCAATGGCGGGCAGGGGTGTGGTCATTTCCACAACCGAATGCTACCGGCGGACGACATACAATGAACCTATTGTTGCTCTAAAATCATTTATCCTATCACCGTTTGTCAATGAGGCGGATGTCGAAACTGTTGTCGCGAAGGTATTGGAAGCGAGAGAAAAAATCACATGAACAAGATTCAGGCAAATAGAATTATGTAATGTGGCGTGTCCAGTGTCAGAATCAGGATTCGCAGTGTCGGCGCGTAAAAAGGGCATGTATCAGTTGATAATTTTCGCCTTCGCATCGGGCGAGACGGAGATAATCTTCAGTCCGTCCAGCGCGAAGATATAGGGCAAGCAGGAGTTGAACATGCACTTGCCGATTGGGACTCCCATCAAGGTGTTGTTCAATTGTCACTTGTAAATCTGTTGGTTCCTGCATTGAGCAGAGTTGTTCGAGGAGGTGCGTCAGGAATGGTGTGAAAATCGGTGCCGCATCAAAACTTAACTGCAACGGAATCTTCAGAAAGGTCTATAACACGAGCAATAGCGCGCTTGAGTTCCTGATACTGTGTCCGGTTCAGATGTGCTTCAAATACGCTGTATTGGACACGGGTGCCGAATCCTTTAAGCACTTTTGCAAGTTGATTGCGCCGCCGGTCATCTGGAATATCATAAGAAATGACATAGAACACCGAATTTACCTCCAACGTAATCCTCAACGCCATAAAAACCTTTCTCTTGACTTTTTGGGGCTATATGATATGCTTTTGATTGTAGCGGCACGCGGTGGAATTAGTTTTTCGCACATTTCTTTCGACACGCGAAATGTTTAAGTCGAACTCACGTCAGACAAAACCATCGGCAGGAAGAAAAATCCAATGTGCCGTAGCGCACCGTGTCCCAAGATGTGGAATCCGTTATGCCTGAATTCATCAGCTCCCCACCCTTTTTGATAATTGCCGCCATAGTCGCAATATTTCTCATAATTGTTATCATCAAGCACGCGTGGCGTCTCTTAATCTGGATCGCCATTATTTTTCTGATTCTCATCTATTTCGGTATTATGAAACAATCTGATTTGCTACAGTGGTTCGAGAATCTCCGCAAAATGGTAGAGTGACGAGAATCGCGACCAGAGGTTGCTCCTACAAGAGAACTGCAGGACGTTGCTATTTCGCTTGACACGAATTTGTTTGTCATCTATTTTATTAGGTAATTAGCAGTCAGCGGTCAGCAATCGGCAATCGGAAAGGATCGCGATCGGGAGATCGATCCTACAAAGATATTCAGTTATCAGCGGTCAGTCGGAGACAGCATGGAACGGATAAAGGCGTAAATTGGCGAGACTGGAAAATTTGACAACGGAGGTCACGATATAGATGGGAATTTTAACGAAGGATCAGCGTAAGCAGTGGAAGACAGAGGGTTACCTCGTTTTGAAAGGGGTGCTCTCTCCCAAAGAGGTGCAGGGACTGACAGCGACGGTAGATGAAATGGATGCGGAGTTTCGGAAAGGCGAGAAATGTCACCGCCGATTCTCTTTTCGACAAGCGAAATGTGATGGAAGATAACGATATTTTCGTGGATCTGATGGATCACCCCGTGACGCTTCCGATTGTGCGTGAGTTGATAGGCGACTACATCCAGTTGAGTATGTCCGAGGTAATCATTCGTCCCCCGAATCCGAAAGATCAGGGTTATTTGCATACGGACGGCGGACAGGCGATGCGAACCATTCGGGTCAGCAGATCGAGTTCACCCCTGCAAATCAAAATCCATTATTTTTTGACGGATATTGAGAGTCCAGAGAGTGGAAATTTCACCGTTGTGCCGGGGAGCCATAATCGCACTTTTCCAGAAACCGGAGTCAAGGACGGTCCCTACATCCCCGAAGCCGTGCCGTTGTGTGTGAAAGCAGGCGATGCCGCCATTTTTCCGCACGCGCTATGGCACGGTGTTGTTGCAAACCATTCGGAACAAGCCCGAAAGACGCTAATTTACTGCTACAGCCATCAATGCTTTCGACCATTTGATTACGAAAAAGCAGTCGCCTGAACTTATGGAGCGATGCACGCCGCGCCAACGTCGGTTAATCGGAGATATCGGGGATTGGAAGCCGGGGTCTTATTTCTATTCGCCAGGTGATCAGAAAAAATTAATCGACGGGTTAGAAGAGGAGAGTTAGTCGATTTCGATGACAACGTACTGTTGTTCAACGGTGACTGGAAAGGTATCGGCGACGTATGGACCTTTTTCGGGACCAGAACTGGACGTTTCGATGCTCTCACCGCTCTCGACTTGGACTTCGTATTTTTTGACGCGTCGTTGTGCGGGACTCCACCACGATTGTCCTGTTTTGATGTCGAATTCCCAACTGTGCCATGGGCATCGGAGAATTTCACCTTGGCGGGTATAGTTATAGTTGCCCGGCGCGGGGGACTCTAAAAAGCCGGTAACGAGACCGCTGCACAGGGGTCCGCCTTGGTGTGGGCAGCTATTACGGATGGCAAAATATTCGCCGTCAATATTAAAGACACCGATAGAACGTCCGCCGATTTCGACGATTTTGCGTTCACCGGGAGGAATTTCATCTGGGGTTGCTACTACGTATTTAGCCATTTAGTTATCAGTTATCGGTTGTCATTACACTGAGTATCAGTACCAGCTAACCCCCTTATCAGAAGGAAGGCGCGTCAGAGCACAGGGATTGATGTTCGGCGAGGTGTTTTTGCTTGGGTGTTTCCCCAAGCAAACCTCGCCTATCAATTTTAAAGGGAAATTGTCGCTATAGTTTATCAAATGCGTAAAGTTCGCGGGCATTCTCCGCTAAGATCTTGCGACGCAGTTCCGGTTTCAGGAAACTGGGTAAAGCACGGTCGGGAGAATCAAAATCCCAATGCGGGTAATCTGTGGCGAACATGAGTTTGTCGTCCATGTCCATTTGCTCCAGCAGTTGCTCGAAATACTCGCGTTTCGGTGGCTCTTCCATCGGTTGCGTACTGAACCAGAAATGATCTCGAATGTATTCCGAGGGTTTCCGTTTAAGATCAGGCACCTCGGCACGTAGTTTTTCCCATGTCGCGTCAAGTCGCCAGATAAGGGGTGGTAACCATGCGAACCCGCCTTCAATCAGAATAATCTTCAGCGTCGGGAAACGGTCAAATACACCTTGCATGGCGTAACTGATGACTTGGGTATGGAAGGCTTGCGGCATACCGCCGTGGTCTTCAATGTAATAAGAGGGCCATCCGGCACCTGTAATGGGACCCTGATTGCCTCCAAAGTGGATACCGATAGGTAGATCATACGCAGCGGCTGCCTCGTAAATTTTCCAGTATTTTCGGTTGCCAAGCGGATCTCTCGTCCGCGCGAGGAGCAAGATCTGAACAAACGCTGGATTTGGCCCGCACCGATGGATCTCCTCAGCGGCGAGGTCTCCATCTTCATAAGGGAGAACAATAGAGGCACGCAGGCGTGGCTCAGGTTCAACCCAGTCGGCGACCTGCCAATCGTTGACTGCGCGTGCAAGCGCGGCACCAAACTCAACATTTAGCTCCTCACCCACAGGTATTAGCGGGTTAAGCACGCCGTATTCGATGTTCCATGTATCAAGGAGCTGCTCCTGCATGAACGATAAATCTGCACCGGGTGAAAGCCCTGAGGGGGGCCAAGCATCACGCCGTGCGGCATTAAGGAGCGCACGCGGATAATAGCCGCCGATGCGGCCCCGGAGCCCGAAAGTCTTGTAGTGCTCCTGCCACCGTTCGGATAGGTACGGGGACAGACCGCCTGGTGGAACGGAGTTGTGGATGTCGCAATCGATGATTGACTTTGCAATATGGGCTTGCGAGCTTCGCCCTACATTAGAACGTTTCGTCGTTGTGTTTTCCATTGCGCTTACCTCCAAAAGACGTAAAAAAGTGGAAATTACCTAAAGTTGATAGAAGGCACGTGCGTTCTCGTGCAAAATTTTACGAGCGAGTGAGCCCGGTAGCTCCGCGGGGAAAGCATCGTTGGGCGTATTGAACTGCCAATGCGGATAATCTGTTGAAAACATTAACATCTCATCGGACTCCAATTGCCCGATAATCTGAAGAAGTTGCTTCGGTGTCGGCGGTGAATCAATAGGTTGTAGGGTAAACCGAATGTGCTTCCGCATGTATTCAGAGGGTGGACGTTTCAGCCACGGTGTGTTGTTTCGGAGGCTCCGCCACTCTTTATCGATCCGCCACATAACAGCGGGAAGCCACGTAAAACCACTTTCAATCAGAACGACACGCAGTTCCGGGAACTGGTCGAAAACGCCTTCCGCAACGAGGCTAATCACCTGTGCTTGGAAGACCTGTGTCATCCCACTATATTCCTCTAAAAACGTAGAGGGCCACCCTGTTGCTGAGGGCTGATTGCCCGGTGCCCCACCGTACTGGATACCGATAGCGATATTCTTTCGGACTGCGGTTTCGTAAATCGGATGGTAAATGCGGTTACCGTATGGGATACGTGAACGGACAGGCAGTATCGCTTGGACAAACCCTGGATGATCGCCAACTCTCTCAATTTCCTTCGCAGCGAGGTCGGGAAGTTGGCTTGGAATAACAAGGGAGGCACGGAGTCGCGGTTCGGGATCAAGCCAATGTTCTATCTGCCAATCGTTTACCGCCTGTGCCATAGCGGCAGCGAGGTCCGGGTTGTGGACGCTTTGCACGCGATAGGCACAATTGAGAATACCGTATTCGAGATTCCAAGCATCAAGCAAGTGTTCGCGGACATGTTCGAGATCCATATCCCACGGAGACGGCGCATCGGGATGCGTCGTTAGCGGTGCTTGACGCGGATAATCATTCGCATCGGGACCTCTGAAGCCGGAAGTACTACAATAGTCGCACCAGAAATCAGACATGTAAGGGAAAAGTGTCTGTAAGGTTGGGACTTCGTTATGGATGTCGCAGTCGATAGCCTTGACCCCTGCTTGGACGAAATTCGGAGTATCCTTGATTTCCATCTACTTTTCCTCGATTTGACAGACAATGGGGCGTACTGGATTTGAACCAGTGACTTCTACCGTGTGAAGGTAGCGCTCGTACCCCTGAGCTAACGCCCCACGTAGGGATATGGGCCCACTAGGACTCGAACCTAGGACCAGTCGGTTATGAGCCGACGGCTCTGACCACTGAGCTATGAGCCCCTTTAGAACAGTTTCAATAGTAAGAATTATATCATATTACGCTTTAAAAATCAAATTTTATGTTTTTCTATAGAAGTATAAGTCGTCAGTTATCAGTTGTCAGTTTTCGGTAAAAATCGCGAGCACAGCTCGCTCCTACAAAAATCGGAATCAGTGGTCAGAAAAAGTTGGGATTTTGTACCGAGAGCAAGATAATCGCTAATTAACAGAGCGAGGTGCATAAGTCATTGCAACTGCAACGGTGGAAACCATGAATGCAGCGGTTCACAGAAGGCACATGGTGGATTTTTTTGTAGCACAATCTGTATGAAGTTTCAATAAATAATTCGGTAATTCTATGACGGGAGTTTCAGGCAACAAGGATGTCCACTCCTGCAAATCCGATAAATCCTGTAAATCCTGCTTCAGACAATGAACACCCCACATGACCGATTTAAATTCTGAATCTTCATTTAGATTGTGTCTGGTGATTTCCCACAAACTAACAGTTTGCGGTACAAAGACACAGCAAATAATGAACCACCCTCAATTAACAAAATCGCGGAGTTTTCGGCTTCGCCTCGGATGTCGCAACTTCCGAAGAGCCTTTGCCTCAATTTGTCGGATTCGCTCGCGTGTTACTTTAAAGATATTGCCGACCTCCTCAAGCGTCCTTGGATAACCATCCTCAATCCCAAAACGGAGAGAAATCACCCTTCTTTCGCGTTCATTTAAATCGCCAAGGACTTCTTGAATCTGCTCCTTGAGTATATTTAATTCGGCTTCCTGTACCGGGGAGGGAGAGTCAACATCCATAATGAAAGCACCGAGAGGGTTCTCATCCTCTTCACCAATTGGGGTGTCTAAAGAGGCAGTTTCTGGTGCGACTGACAAAGCTTCGGTGACCTTATTGCTGGAAATCCTGAGATCGGTGGCGATCTCGTCAGCCGTTGGTTCAGTGCCTAACTCCTGTAAGAGTGAACGTTGCACACGTCTGATTTTGTTAATTCGCTCGTGCATGTGGACAGGGATGCGGATAGTGCGTCCTTGGTCAGCGATAGCACGTGTGATACCTTGTCGAATCCACCATGTAGCATAAGTGCTAAATTTATATCCGCGCTGGTAATCAAATTTGTCCACTGCCCGCATCAAGCCGATGTTTCCCTCCTGGATTAAGTCGAGAAATTCGAGTCCCGATGCACGGTGCCTATGTCTCTTCGCGATGCTGACGACCAGTCGGAGGTTTGCTTCAACAATCGCCATTTTTGCGCCTTGCGCCTCGGATTCACCTTTGTCAATCTGCTGTGTGAGGGTCTTGAGCCGTTCCCGTGGGACACCAATTGCGGTCATGTGCTGTCGGATATTGCGTTGTAAACGAACAATGTTTACATAGGCAGTTTTTACCGTGCCGGTTTCAAACTGATGATCAGTTCCGTTACTTCCGTTGATCCATTCATCAGGGATATTATGTGTCTGCTGAATACCCCGGATTTCACTTTCCCAAGTGCTAATCTGATACTCGGCTTGTTTGACGAGGTCAGAAATTTTGCTAATCTCCTCTCGGTCAATCTTAAGTTCTTCGAGCGTCTTAATGAGATTGGTACGGGTTTTCGATTTCCCTCCGGTTTTCCCTCCGGTTTTCCCTCCGTTTTCAGCCGCGGAAGGCGGGGTAGCGGTGAGACGTTCCATCTCCAAGTTTTCAAGTACATCCAACGCTTTCTTGACCTGTTCGCGTAATTTGCGTTCCTTATGCTGGGTCGAGGTACTGGAAACAGGCATATCGATAATATCAGAGGCACGCTTTTTAGCCGTGACGATTTTATAGAGAAGTTTCCGAACTTCAGTAATAGCCAGTGCTGTGCCGAAGGTTGCCTCATGAGCCGTCTGATGTCCCGCCTCAATCTGCTTAGCGAGTTCAACCTCTTGCTTCTTATCAAGCAGTTGAAATTTCCCCATCTCGCGCATATACACCTTCACAGAATCGTCCGTGTAACTTGTGCCTGCTGTGGCTATTTCAGCCATGTCATCTTCGTATCCGAGTTCATCAGTTCTCTCGGCATCCAGATAATCAAGAGCGGAATGATCTTTGAAATCCATCATCAACTCCTTCCTTCATTTGGGTTTTCACCACGAGTGTCCACAATATCTCGATCGCGTAAGGCACGTCTTTCGTTCGAGAGTTTCACCAACTCCCCAAGGGTTTCCATTTCATCTGCCCCTTCAGCGAGGGCGTGCGAGCGAACACGCTGTTCAAGATCTTGTGAGAGGAAATGCCGTAGTTTTTTAAGACACCCCTCCACCCGTGCCTGTAGTAGATTCGGTGGAGGCATTCTCTGTAGAATTACACCTGAAATAAACGCGCTTAGTTTTTCGTCAGGGCATTCATTAATTAGGGTTTGGATATCTACATTCTCATCGTCTGTACAAGCTTCCCACAGCAACTCTGCGATTCCAACAAAGCGGGGTTCCGTGAAACTTTCATAATGGAACCGAGATTTGACATAGGAAATTAACGCCGGATTTTGGATCAATGCTTCAATCAATTGACGTTCAATTTGTGCGCGGGGTGTCAATCTTTGGTTATTTATCTTGGTTCGCCTCTGCTGACTGGAAATAGGGGTCTCCTTGAACCCGGCATCTCGCAATTCCTGCCAAAGCACAGGCTCCTCTACATGGAGTTCCCTTGCAGCGTATTTGACGTATTCGTTCCGCTCTACTCGATTCTTGAGGTTCAGGAGCGTCTCGACAACTTCTTTGACGACTTGTGTTTTCACATCAACCCGATGAATGTCATGCCGTTGGATGGCAGCTTGAATCTGAAATTCAATGAGATTTATCGCTTTGTCTGTGAGTTCTGTGAACGCGGCAGCCCCGTGTTGTCGCGCAAATGAGTCTGGATCTTCCCCCGCAGGCAAGAGTGCAATGCGCACCCGCAACCCCTCTGCGAGCAGTCGGTGCAACCCGCGTTGTGCGGCTTGGAAACCGGAGGCATCTCCGTCGTAGACAATGATAACTTCGTCGGAGGCAAACCGCTTCAATAATTTCGCATGATTTTCACTCAACGCGGTCCCGGAGGACGCCACTACATTCTCAATCCCAGACTGCAAAAGCATCAAAACGTCCATATAGCCTTCTACAAGAAGCACGTGCTGCTTTTTGTAGATAGATTGGCGTGCTTTGTCGAGGTTGTAAAGGATATTACTCTTATCATATAAAACTGTCGCCGGAGAATTCAAATACTTTGGCTGATGTTCTTCAGAGAGCGAGCGCCCGCCAAAGCCGACGGGTACCCCGCGTTCATTGTAAATCGGAAAAAGAACCCTGTTCCAAAACCGATCCTGCGGACCCCGATCTTCATCCTTAATTAGCCCAGCATCAATGAGTTGCTGGATAGTAAAGCCTTTATCTGTCGCGACTTTAATAAGATCGCGTCGCCCAGATTTTGCGTAGCCCAACTGGAAGGAACGGAGCGTTTTCAATTGGACACCCCGGTGCTTGAGATACTGCATCGCTGACGCACCCGCTTTATCAATCAGAAGTTGGTTGTGGTAGTATTCCACTGCAAACCGATTGAGGTCTTCTAAGGATGTAACCCTTTTTCGGTCAGCACTCGCGCGTCCATCCGGATTCGGGAGGTCGATATTCAGCCGCTCCGCTAACCACTCCAGCGTCTCCCTGAAGTCTTTACCCTCATATTTTTGGACAAAAGAGAAGACATTCCCACCCGTTTGACATCCAAAACAGTAGAACATCTGCTTTTGAGGTGAGACTGTGAAGGAGGGTGTCTTCTCATCGTGAAAGGGGCAGAGTCCCTTGTAATCTCGACCGGCAGGACGCAGAATGACACCACACTCGGAGACGACTTCAACAATATCGCTTCGGCTCCGAATCTCATCAATTGTTTCGCGTGGTACTTGACCTGTTGTACGGGTGTTGTTCACGGTAAATCTGCCTTTATGTGTTATGGTAAACCTGTTCCTTCAAACCCGGTGCGGTTGAATGAAGTTTCAATAAATAATTCGGTAATTCTATGACGGGAGTTTCAGGCAACAAGGATGTCCACTCCTGCAAATCCGATAAATCCTCTAAATCCTGCTTCAGACAATTAACACCCCACATTACCGATTTAAATTCTGAATCTTCATAAAACCGCACCTACTTTGATTCGTTAACGACAAGCCTATGTAAGACCTCATTCTTTGAATGTGACAAGGGTTACGCCCTCACCGCCTTGGCTGAGTGGGGCGTGGTGGTATTTGGTTACACATGGATTCTCACGCAACTCGTCCTGAACGGCTTTTCGCAATGCGCCGGTCCCTTTGCCGTGAAGAATACGAACTGTCGGGATACCGGCGAGATACGCATCATCAAGATACTTATCGGTCAAGTCTAATGCCTCTTTTACAAGCATCCCTCGGATATTAAGCTCACTACTGATTGTATTGGATTTAGTATATTGGATATCAAGTACAGACGTCGAAAGGTGTGATGTTTCTTGTTTTGGGTCACAGAATCGATTTCGTGGTAGGCGGCTTGCATTCGCATATTCCCAACCAGAATCTGAAGTGGCATTTTACCGCGCGGTTTAATAGCGGTGACTTCTCCGAATCGGCTGAGTTTCTTGACTCTGACCTTATCACCGACGTTAACTTTGAGCTTCGGTTGGTTAGACTGTTTTTTCGGGAGTTCTGTCTTCAGCGACTTTTTGGCAGTCTCTATCTCTGAAAAAGCGTTTTGGATACTATCTTTAGAGGCTTGTTGTTTGCGAATATCAGCGACGAGTTTCTCTATGGTTTTGCGTGCGTTGGCAACGATGTCGCGAGCCTCGCTCTCAGACCGCTGTTTTAAGGTATCCCGTTCCGTTTCAAGGGTTTGAAGGAGCTGTGTATGTTTCTCGGATGCCACCTCAGCTTCTCGAATTTTATCGTGCAGGAGTGCCCGTTCTGTCTCCAACTCATCTTGTGTTTGCTGCAAACGCACGAGGAGATCCTCGATAGCCACATTAGTATTGCCCAAATGCGTTTGTGCTTCATCAAGAATTTCAGAGGGGATTCCGAGTCGCGAGGCAATTTTTATGGCATTGCTACTTCCGGGTATACCTATTTGGAGTCGGTAGGTCGGAGACAGGGTCGTCCAGTCAAACTCCATTGAAGCGTTTTCCATACGTTGCTGTGTATGGGCATACACCTTGAGTGCGCCATAGTGCGTCGTGACGATAGTATTCACCTGTCTTTCTCCGAACCAATCAAGGAGTGCCATACCGAGGGCGCTTCCCTCGGTCGGATCTGTTCCAGCACCGATCTCGTCCAGCAACACAAGCGAATATTCAGCGTCCTCGATTTTCCTGAGCATCTCCACAATTTTTGTGATATGTGAGGAGAAAGTACTCAGACTCTGTTCTATACCTTGGTCATCGCCAATGTCAGCGAAGACATGGTCGAAGATAGCAACCTGACTCCCGTGTTCCGCCGGAATATGCAAACCGGATTGTGCCATGAGCACTAAAAGTCCAACCGTTTTGAGAACAACGGTTTTGCCACCCGTATTCGGACCGGTGATGATGAGTGTATTGAACGTTTTCCCGATATGAACGTTTGTAGGTATAACATGCGCCGGGAGATCCACACTTCTTTCAGAATCGGGATTGGACTTACGCGCGTTCTGAAGATGGAACTCCAACAACGGGTGCCGCGCCTCAATCAATTTGACAACGCCGTGGGTATTCAGTTCCGGTTCAACAGCGTTTAATGCAAGGCTAAAACGTGCCTTTGCGTTCAAAAAATCCAACTCCGCTAACAGGTCCAGAGACAGTTCCAATTCGTGTAGGTTGTCGCGCACGCGATCGGTGAGCTCAAGGAGGATACGTCGAATTTCACGTTGTTCGGCTTCAGCGGCTTCATGGAGTGCGTTGTTCATCTGAACAATCTCCAAAGGCTCCACAAAAAAGGTTGCACCGCTTGTGGATTGCCCCTGAACCACGCCTCGAAAAGATGATCGTGCTTCCTGCTTTATTGGGATGACATACCGATTGTTTCGAGAGGTGATGACCTGTTCCTGAATTGCTTTCTGATATTGCGGTGAACGCAGTGTCGCTTCCAGTTTTTGGTGTATATCTTCACGAAGGCGATACAACTTGCGGCGGATGGCACGTAACTCAGGGCTTGCGCGATCCAGCAACATTCCCTCTGCATCGATGCAATAGCCAATCGCCTCAACTAATTCTGGAAACACCGGTAGTGCATCGACAATAGAAAAAAGGTTGGGAAACTCCTCTCGATCGCGTTTCTTGAAGGCATGATGGATGTCTTCGGGAATCTGTGCGACCTTTCGGACATCAAGAAGTTCCTCAGCATCTAAAAGTGCCCCTACCTTCGCGGCATGGCTTAGCGATTTACGGATATCCTTTAAACCGTTCAGCGGTATTCCACCGTAAACTTGATGAAAGAATTTCGTCTCACTACACAAGGTGAGCAGGTAGCGAACTTTATCGACGTCACAAGATGGCGTGAGGGTGTCAACACGCGCCGTCCCAAGTTGAGAAGCGGTGTACTTTTTCAAAAGCACACGGATTTTGTCGTATTCTAACGCTTTTTCAACACTGGATAACACCGGTTTTTCCTTTTTTGGGTGTGCTTGGAGGTCCAAACTACAATCGGTAAATAGTTATTGTTAACGTGAGTTCGACTTAAATATTTCGCGTGTTACGGAGAACCCACGGAGCGTGCCTACTACTTTATGTGAACGGAGAACCCACGGAGCGTGTCTACTACTTTTAATTAATAATTCTTACGCTTAAGGTTGCTCCAAGTCGTGACTAACTTCTCCTGTGGTTCAACAGCTAACACAGCACCCTCTCTCGACCACGAAAGGACGAAGATACTCCCATCAACTTCCACTATTGCCTCGGTCTCATCGGTCGCGAAGTCATACAGGTAGACAGATCCCCACCGAGAATAGACTATATAGTCACCTTCAGGCGACCAGTTGCCCCAATAGCCAGTAGCTTTGTCAACATCAAACAAGGGTTCGATTGTTTTGGTCTCAATGTCAATCGTGTAAAACGTGTCAAACTCTCTATTCCATCTAAGGAAGAGAATGCGCTCACCATCAGGAGACCATACGGGATAAAAGTCTTTATGGAGTTCGGTCAAGATCTCTATCTCTTTCGTTTCAACGTCTAAAATATATAGGTGTTCCAACCAGCCGGGTCTGGCTAGCGAGAAGGCAAGCTGCTTGCTATTCGGTGACCAGGATATTCCGTAAAATGAGAAGGGCCATCCCAAGTGCGGCACTTGCGTCATGACGTCCATCTGTCCCGTCTCGATATCCAGCACCCAGATCTGGTTTTCTTGGGGTAACTGGTTTAGGGTATAGCCGTTGAAAGCGAGTTTTTTGCCATTCGGAGAAACCGAAAGAAACCGATACGTGCCAGAAATCGGTGTAATGAGTTTCTTATTCTTCGGATTTTCCGGATCAATGGCATAGATATCAGATTGCCCAGCATCCCGTTGGATGAAATAGAGCACTTCCCCGTTGCGTCCCCATGATGGGTACATCCCTTTGTGGTTCAAAGGAATGGATTTTAAATCTTTAGTGCCGCTAATTTCGGTGATGTAGAGATTCCAATCAAAGCGCCCCAGATTTTCATCGAATCCATTGACTGCATAAGCGAGATATCCGGTCGGTGCCGCTTCACCTAACGATACAAACGGGAGCAGAGTTAAAAGAAGTACACTCAAAAGAGCGAACCCAACGGTTTTAGGAACGAAAAAAGGAGGACGACTATATTTATAAGATATCATTGCTGCTCCTTATGAATTATTGGTAAAAAAGAAAATTACTGGGCAGATTCAAGACGTTTGTAGTGGAGCAGTGCGCTCTCATAGAGGCGGCGACTTAACCCCAGTTTTTCAAACTCAACGACCAAATCGTAACTGTAAAGTGCTGAGTTTTCTCTGCCTTCGTCGTCGGCGCGACGGGCACTTTGAACGTTATTTATGATTGTCAACGCCTCTTTTTCAAAACTTCCGATCTGCTTTCGGAGTTCCGCGGACAACCCACCCTGAATGTCTTTGTTGACTTTATAGGTGCGAATCGCGTCGGCATACGCGACATAAGCGTTATAGTAACGCCTTTCGTTCTCCAATTTTTCTGCATTTGAGAGATCCAACGTTTCCCCAATGGCAGCGATAACCACTTTTGCATCTTCAATGATTTCAAGGCTTTTTTGGGCAAGACCTGCTTCCAGTGTCGTCCGAAACTCATCTATGATCTCTTTATATGCGGCACGCGCTGCATCGGCATCGCCTGACTTTTCATAAACAATTGCCTGGTTAAATTTGGCTTCGGCAAGTACGAACTCCCGAATCTCTAGCGAGAGTGCTGGTGTGGGCGGGAATGCTTTTGCCTGATAGGCAGCGATGGCTTTTTCGTAGTTGCCTTCCTGCTCGTAGGTGTTGCCTATTGCCTTCTGTGCATAAAGACCGTACATCTGATTTTCGGGTTGACGGCTTTCAATGACCTGTTGGAAGTGCGAGCGTGCTTCTGCGTAGTTGCCCTGATAATAGAGTGAAGTCGCATATTGATACCGTGCCTTGTCAGAAAAAGCGGTATTCGGATACTTCTCAAAGACTTCTTGAAGGTGCGTCTGTGAGGTTTTGAGAGATTCTTCGCTTTCCGCTAATTTATCTGCATCGAAAAGGCTCTCTTCGGCGGTTCGATAGCCTTCGGTGGCTTCCCGCAGCGCGATAGTTGCTTCGGCGCGGCGGCTCTCCTGATTCTGAGAATATGCCGCATAGCCTGCGACAGCCACAAGGACTATCCCCACTACAATGACGATGGTTCGCAGATTCTCTTTAAGGAACTGGTAGGTTTTCAGCAGCCCTTCAATGAATTTATCTTCTTGGATCTCTTCTTTCGTCAATCGTTGGTCTCGTGCCATGGATTTCCTCAATTTTAGGCGATTTTAAGTTAAATATTCAAGTGGGCAAATATTCAAGCGGGTGACGGGAATTGAACCCGCGACCCTCAGCTTGGGAAGCTGACGCTCTACCGCTGAGCTACACCCGCGTTAATGGTATTATACCACATCTGTTTGGCGTTGTCAATGTTGTCAAAATTAAAATGAAAAGCGGGCGTTGGCAGGGTAGAGAATCGGGGTTTGCAAGTTTCGCCAGATGCCCGCTTTTCCGTAAGGTCGAGGTACGCCAACCGTGCGTACGGTCCCGGTTACTCCGGAATACCTATTACAATTTGTCCAGCTCGTCCAGAACTTGCTCCGCTGACAGCGTATTGTCGGGGGGAGCCGCTTCGACGTGTTTGAAGGCGACATTTCCAGACTTATCGATGATGAAGACCCCACGCGTGGTAATGCCGACACCTTCGATTTCCATACCGAACTGCTTAGAAACGGCAAGGTTCATATCCGCGAGGAGCGGAAAATCGACACCACCCAGCACCTCACTCCATGCCTTATGAGCAAACGTTGAATCGCGATTGATTGCGATGACTTCAGCACCTTTCGCTTGAATCGCTGACAAACTTCCGTTGAAATCCGGCACCTGTTCAGCACAGACAGGGGAAAAAGCGAGTGGATAGAAAAGAACCACTAAATTTTTGCCTGCGTAGTCGCTCAATGAAACTTCAACATCTTCTTGGTTAACTGCACCTGTAAGTGTGAAATCCGGTGCAGCACTTCCTACATCTGCCATGAAATTCCTCCTATGTGCGCCTGAAAAACGCGCTTAGATAATGAGAGTTTTCTTTAAAAAATGTTACACCCGTGTAACATTGGGTTGGATAGGTTCTCGATATAAAACCTAATAACTGTAAGGGTTTGTTGAGATTTCTTGTGTGGCTTCCCGCGGTAAAAAAACAGTTTCTACATAGATGTCGCCCCGTTGAGGCTGATCATCTGGTAAAAACAACGCTATTTTTTGTAGATGGCAACTTAGGCTAAGATTATTGTCTTTTCAAGGCTGCCCATGACACCGCCAATTTTCCTCTGGGTTCAATTGCAGTAAGAGAGGCCGTAGCGAAGCCGTTCACACTAACATCATCAAAACTGGCTTGTGTATCCCACGTCCAGACCCCAACTTTCCCAACGGGATACGCGTCATCAATAAAGACACCCTGTTCTATATCGTTAATAGCAACTGCGATGCGACTGCCTTCAACGACGACGCGGAGTGTGAACCACTCGTTGCGCGTAATCGTAAGCCCGATAGGTTCAATATCGTGTTCAATTTCATCGCGTGCTTCAAACCCATCTTTAAAAACAGTGCTGTGCCGGTGCCGCCACAACTCAGACTTGTTCTCTTTCGGGCAGATGAGGTACACATAGTACTCAAATTCATTTTGTGCCCGGAAAACGATACCACCCCAGTGTCCGTCATCAACACGGACCCTTGCTTCCAACGTGTGGTCTGTCCATTCTGCCCCGTCAACCAACGCCTTTTGTGCTTCACCCCAGCGCATCGTTTGTTTATAGATGCCTTCTTCTACTTGCCAGCTGCCATTCGCCGGTGTCCAATCGACAGCATCATCGTCAAATGTCCAAACGTGCTCCTCAGCAGTCGCAAGCGGAACGGCATAGATACTGATGCACATCAGAAGTAGTACGAGTCGGCTTTTCATAACGTCCATCACGGTTGGTAATTTTCGCTGAACCTAACCTAAAATAGGACGAAACCACACGGGTTTCGCCCTATAATTCAAGGATTTACTTCGCTTTAAGCTTTGCCCATTTGGTAGCGAGTTTACCTTTGGGATCAACTGAAAGCGTTCCGATTTCCATTTCCTTCACTTCGGCCTCGGTCAATGCAACAGCGTAAATTCGGGATTCTTCAATGTGTGCGTTGAGGTCACCGGGACCGTCAAGTCCACCTGTATGCCGTTTACCCCAAACTGCTTCGGCATCACCAGTGGGCCAGGTTTTGATTTCACCCTTTTCATAACTCCCAAGGCTCTCACCGTTACGGTATCCGGTAATCTTGTAAGTCCCACCCTTATCTTCGTACGTGAAGGCTAAGTAGACCATTTCGCCTTCTTTCTTTTCATTGTGGGCTTTTGGGAAGTCCTCAGTGCGATGGAACCAACTGCTTCCGGACATCCATTGACTCGGTTGGCGTTCAGCGTAAACAATCGCGTTAAATTGGTCCTCTGTGGCTTTATCTAACGTGAGTGCTGAGCCTTTCGTTGCAGCGAGGCTGTCCAGAGCAACCCATGTCATCAATGTCTTCTCTTCGATGTCGGGTCCGCCGTATTCGAGTGCGTGTGCCCATTTCCCGGTCTCAACAATCAACTGACCATCTTCGAGTTCGGCACCGTGGAGATCCATATCGTCCCAGTTCCCCATCTCGTCTTTTTCGCTATCAAATAACCACCACCCAAGTAGATTGTCCGCTTGAGCGTCTTGTGCGAAGACTGCAGGTGTCGATAAGCTCAACATCAGCAGGACAGCACAGATATAATACACTTTTACTCTCATTGTCAATTGCTCCTTTTTAGGTTCAAATTGAGGTTTCGAGCGGGCAGATTCCCTCAAGGACAGAAAACAGGTTATGCTTCCACCCGCATAGGTAAATTACATATTATTATAACACATAATTCGTGCGAAAGTCAAATGTCCAAACGTGCTCTTCAGCAGTCGCAAACGGAACGGTATAGATACTGATGCACATCAGAAATAGTGCAAGTCGGCTTTTGATAACGTCCATCACGGTCAGAAGTTACCGGTAACCTAATCTAAAATAGGGCGAATCCACTTGGGTTTCGCCCTATAATCAAGGACTTATTTCACTTTAAGCCTTGCCCACTGAGTGGCGAGTTTACCATGGGGTTCGACTGAAAGCGTTCCTGCTTCCAGGCTTTGGACTTCATCCTCTGTCAACGCGACGTTGTAAATTCGGGATTCGTCAATGTGCGCGTTGAGTTCACCGGGACCATTAAGTCCGTTTACGTGCCGCTTCCCCCAAATTGCTTCAGCATCATCTGCCGGCCAGGTTTCAACGGGTTCCTTTTCAAAACTACCAAGGTTCACGCCATTACGGTAGCCGGTGATCTCGGTATTGTTTTTGGCATCCCTGTAAGTGATGACAAGGAAAACAAGTTCGCCCGTTGCCTTTTCAGTGACTGCGTCGGGGAAATCATTCGTATGTCGGAAATGGCTGCTCCCAGGCATCCATTGTTTATCCACCCTTTCAGCCCAGACGATTGCGCGAAACTGGTCTTTGCTGAGTTTATCCAGCGTGAGTGCAGAGCCATTCGTCTTGGCGTAGTCGTCCAAACTGACCCAGGTCGCCAATGTCAATTCCGTGATATCGGGACCATCGTACTCAGGGGCATGTGCCCATTTCCCGGTTTCAACGACCAGTTGTCCCTTCTCAATTTTGGCACCTTGGAGTTCAATCTCTCCCCAGTTGCCTGTTTCCTCTTTGAGGTTATCAAATAGCCACCATCCAACCAGATGCTCTTCTTGCGCGTCTTGTGCGAAGACTGCAGGTGTCGATAGGCTTAACACCAACAGGACAGCACAGATGTAATACACTTTTACTCTCATGATCAATCGCTCCTCTTTAGGTTCAAATTGAAGTTTCGAGCAGGCAGATTCTCTTGGGGACAGGAAACAGATTATGCATCTACCCGCATAGGTAAATGAGCATAGGTAAATTATATATCATTATAACACATAATTCGCGTGAAAGTCAAGTGCATTTTGGTTGTTAGTCAGAGCCATTTAGTTTTCCGTTCTTTAGGAGGATTTTGAGGACCCCGGGCCTGGTAGGTGCGGTTTCCTAACCGCACCGGATCGTGAAAAAAACATGAAATCCGATAATTTCTTAAAACTGAATAGCCCTAAGGTTGTTAATTTGCCTCACAGTGAGAGTTATCCGTTGTCAGCAGAGTCGCCATCAGCAATCAGCAATCGGCTGTCAGCTGCCTATAATTGACGGGCGATAAATCACCCTACTGTTTCGTCAAGTCGCAAATGATGGTTATAAAAGTTTAGATAGCGTGTCACTTGCCGACGTTCTTGCTGTAGGAGCGAGCTGTGCTCGCGATCTTTATACCTGTCAACTTTGGCGTGACAAAGCACTACTACAAACGTCTAAACTTTTGGTAAACTGTGTTAGGGTCAGTAAATATTTTGGCAGTGTCCTCATGGCAGCACTCCAAGACATAGCATTTTCTGCGGCTTGCATCGATCGAAATCTCTAAATCCCTATAGACAAAACTCTTTACCCGTCAAGAAGTCTCTTTGCTCCAGCGGAGCAATATGTCTATAGAAAAAGATGAGTTACTTCTCTCGCACTCCAGCGGAGTGCTATGTGTCAAAGCAAGTAACGCGGCATTAAAAAATAATAGACAGATGCGGGTCAAAAGTTTACACACCCGGAAATATTCGCCACTTGCAAATTATACCCGCATGTGTTACCATATAATAATCTAAACTGCCATTGTCTGAATCAGGATTCGCAGGATTACATGTTTCTTTTTCATTGATGGTTGTTCTTTACGGAACGACTGCTTTGTCCATCTAAATTTTGTAGCATGGGTATAATAATACATAACACTCAATAACAACACAGAAGAAACAGGTGTAGCAGGAATACATGATGAAACGATTGATGCCGTTACTACTCGTCATCAGCATTGGGCTTATCGGCGAGGGTTTCTGTCAGAAACTTTTCGCCCAAGAAAACGCCGCCACCCAGAAGGATGACAGCAACCTTATCAGGAAGTGTTATTTGGGAGGGGACAGGACCTATCCCACACGAGCGTGTCGGTCTACCGAGATGCGGCACTCAGAGAGTTGTACATCAGCGGGGTTCCACAACTCGGCGATGGGCAATTCACGCTCCGTGTTGAACCGGGTCGCTACTATATCGTTGCCTACGTTGATGTTGACAAATCAGGTAATTTTAATGCGGGCGACGGCTTGGGTATCTTTGGTATCACCGATTGGGGCGACGAAGGACAAAAGTATCAGTTAATCGAAGTAGACCACGGACAGAAGGTTCCGGAGTTAGAGATTCCGATAACGGCGCGAGCGACGCATATTCAGGGGAAAATCAAAATTGTTCCAATATCACAATATGAACCGAGTCAATTACAACAATTCCAGACGGCTTTGCGCACTGTGACATCCGGTTGTCATGGCACGCTTAGCCTTGGTCAAATCCCTGCAAATCCTCAAGCTCCCCTTGGAAACCGAAAAGCATTGATTCTCGCGTATACCGATCTATCTTGGAAATTTCGCGCCGGTATCGCCCGAGTGACGGATACAGGCACGTGGACGCTGAACCTGATGCCGGGGAAGTACTACCTGATGGCAATTATCGACAACAATAACACGAACAAATTGGATATGGGCGATAACTTCGGGTTCTACGGTGTGAAAGATATGCGGAAGCGCGGCGAATTCCCTGAACCTGTGCTAATCTCGCTTAACAAGTTCACTGAAGATATTGAGATAGCCATTACCGCGACCTATCAGATACGTAAAAAGACATCGACCGAAAATACGAGTATACTGACGGGGCACGTATCACTTCCTGAAGATGCAACGGCACAGATTGAAGTATATGCCGAATCGACTTTAGTCACGCCGATTGCGAGCGGAGAAACCGCGGCTGGCGGTATATTCCGCATCGCTCTTCCATCGGGAGAATACTATGTTATCGTTAATTTCGATGCAGATAAAGACGGTAGATACACTGATGGCGACGGCTTGGGCGGTTACGGGACAGTGGACATCACGACACAGCCGCCGGCTCCGATCGTACTTACGGAGGGTGAGAACCTCGACATCGAACTTGTGATAAGTGCGCGTTACGACGCGAATGGTCTTCTTCATGCTGCCCCTCCCGGCATCGAAACACATATCGAACAGGGCAGGATCGCAGGACGCATAACGTGGGATGGACATTCCGTTCAACAGGGAATTTTGACCCTCTCTTATAGCCCTGACTTCAGCGCGCCGGTTGCCATGCCTATTTCTCTGGCGGGAGGCGGCAGTTATCAGGTCAGCGTCCTACCGGGGATCTACTACGCCATGGCAGTGATGGATGCAAATAATGACGGAACAACGGGAATCACCGATGGGGTCGGGATATATGGCACACGTCGTCCGGCGCGCGGTGAACCCACCGCGATCAGTGTGTTTCCCGGACAGACAACAGCACATATTGACATCGACATCCATGCCAGTTACATCGACGAAAAGGGGAACATGGCGGAAATAGAGGACGGGGGTCGCTGGGAAATCAGAAAACGGTACGGTGAACCTGAAGATATTTTTAGTCTCACTCGTAATGGACGGGTGAACGAAGAGTGGAGATATTGGACAAAAGGGCTCGGTTTTCTTTGGAAAGCCAACGGGGCAGGTTGGGAACTCGGCAACGAAGAACATTTTACCCCGAAGGACGGAATAGCAGTCAGTGGTCAGCAATCCGCCGTCAGCAGTCGGACAGAGAACTCCGACGGTTTCCGACAGTCTCCGACGGTTTCCAATAGCCAACATTATATCTACTTTGCTTACGACGATATAATTTGGGGACTTGCCCCGGATGGTAGCAATGCTCCATTGGGTGCTGGACACAACCCAACCGTCGCGAACGATGGCACACTTCTCTTTCAGGATAGGGAAGGAAACGTTATCGTCCGAAGTCGTGAGAAACTCAACGGTGCTTTGCTACTTGACAGCCGACAGATGGCAAGAGATGTGGCAATATCGCCCGATGCGAATTATGTTGCCTATACACGCCCGGAGTATGGGAATCGGAGTCGCGTTGTCATACGGCATATCCCGACCGAATCCGAGTTTATTGTGCCATCAACGGCGTTACAGAGTTTCACGCCTGCATGGAACAGTGACGGCACAGTGCTTGCTTACGTCACAGCCGGAACAATCGAAAATCCGGACGACGAGGGACACAACCGAAACATTTACGCTTTTGACCAAGTAGCAACAAGTGTGGAAGCGATTGTAGTGTCTCCTGCTGATGATACAGAACCGACATGGTCACCTACGAATCCGAACCAGTTAGCGTTCACGCGAACAGAAGGTAACTACCAACAATTTGGCTCATCACCTACTCAGATGAGGGTGTGCCGACGGAACGGCAGTTAACGCAAAAAAGTGGCTCGCATCCGGTATGGATAGCGCCGGAAGGACGCTGGCTCCTGTATGAGAATAATGGACAACTCTGGCAAATTGATACGGAAAATCCGGAAACGACCGAGGCACCGCTGATGTCCAACGGACAGATCGTGTTTGGGCACGAACCCGCAGTTTTAAGACGTGCTTCTAATGATTGAATTTGAGTTGCTGTGAAACGAAGTAGTAGAGGTTTTCGATCAGGTCGGAAAACGTGGAAGCGTGGAAGCAGCCTCCTTGCTCCAGCGGAGCAACATGTCTATAATTGAATTTGAGTTGCTGTGAAACGAAGTAATAGAGATTTTCGATCAAGTCGGAAAACGTGGAAGCGTGGAAGCAGCCTCCTTGCTCCAGCGGAGCAACATGTCTGTAGAGGAACGGTGCCCAGATTGAATAGTTTAAAAATCTCAGCTTTTATATTAATATTGTCCGTGATTACAGTAAACGTGGCTGTGGCGGAATGGCTTCTGATACCGATGGAAATCGGGGCACAAACCAATCATCTAAAGGCTTACGGTTTGACATACTGGGCATTAGAGGTCCCACGTGAGTACCGATGCTACTGGTGGCTCAACTATCGCGGCGGTGCATTCGTCCTGCCGGATTCGCAAGACGTGCGAATGCGTGCGGCATTGATGGGTGTGCGCTTCAAACCGATAAACCATGCCGACTATCTCAGTATCAAGGAATCTGTCCTCGAAGGTAGCAACATGGACGAGATTCTATTGGAAAAAGCCCCCAAAATCGCTGTATACGCGCCATCAGAGGCATCGCCCTACCGAGATCCTTGGGATGACGCAGTCAAAATCGCCTTGGATTATGCACAGATCCCCTACGACGAAATCTGGGACAAAGAGGTCCAAAGTGGCGTGTTAGAGACAGAGGATTACGATTGGCTACACCTCCACCACGAGGACTTTACAGGTCAGCACGGCAAGTTCCACGCCGCATTTTCCACTCAGATCTGGTATCAGCAACGGATGCTGATGTTTGAGAAAGCCGCCACAGAAGCAGGATTCCGACGGGTGGCGCAGCATAAAGGGCAGACGGTACAGATGATCGCAGACTATATCGTCAACGGTGGGTTTATCTTCGCAATGTGTTCTGCCCCAGAAACGCTCGACATTGCTTTGGCGGCACGCGGCGGGGCAGTCGATATCGTTGCCCCTGAATTGGATGGGACACCGATTGATTCCGATGCCGAGACGCGACTCGACTTTCAGCGCACTTTGGCATTTGAAAGTTTTAACCTTTACACGAACCCATACCGATACGAATTCTCAGACATAGACAATCCGAATCCTGATCGGGATGCCCAGAGCGGGGTTGAGGATTTCAAACTCTTTGAATTCGCCGCAAAGCACGACCCGATTCCGACGATGCTCACGCAGAATCACGTAAGCGTTGTGCCGGGGTATCTCGGACAGACGACATCGTTTAATATGGACAAGATTCGTGGCTCTGTCACCATCTTAGGGCAGGTAGAAGGTAGCAACTACGCAAAATACATCCACGGCAAATTAGGGAAGGGAACCTTTACGTTCCTCGGCGGACACGATCCGGAGGATTACCGTCATCTTGTCGGTGAGGGAAAAATACCGACGAACCTTGATCTGCACAAACATTCGCCGGGGTATCGGTTAATCCTGAACAATATCCTATTTCCGGCGGCGCGTAAGAAACCACAGAAGACCTAACTTTCAACGCGCTGTGAGGATAGAACATAAGGAGTTACAATGAAATTTATCTGTTTTGTGCTTGTTTGTGGGCTCGGCCTGTTCGTTTTTGAGCCTATTATACCGGTTTCGGCACAGGTGTCCGCAAGAGAAAAAATTGTGTTTGTATCGAACCGGGACGGCAATTCTGAAATTTACATTATGAATCCCGATGGCAGTGGGCAGATGAATTTAACCCATCATCGCGGGAACGATTACTCCCCAGCCTGGTCACCGACAGGTAAACAGATTCTGTTTGCCTCCGATCGCGCCGGGAAGATTTCAGACCTCTACGTGATGGATACGGATGGTGGGGGTGTTCGACGCGTTTTTGGGAAAAAAGTGGAGCGACGGCATCCGGCATGGTCGCCCGATGGCGAACAGATCGCCTACTATCGGGTCGACAGGGGTGAGGTGGCTATCTACACAGCCTCAATTGATGGCGGGGCTGAAAAAAGGATAGCAATCGGTATGCAGCCTGCCTGGGCACCGGATAGTTCTGAAATCGCTTTCATCTCTGCCGAGATGCTCATACCTATCAATGACGGATTTGGAGGCATACAGATAGCCAAACCCAGAATTGAGATTGTTAACGTGCAAACCAAGGCAAAAGAGCAAATCTCGCCAGACGGATTTCCTTTGATGTTTCACCCTGCATGGACACCTGATGGCACCAAATTCGTCTTTTCCGGTATAAGCGTGGATGATCTTCAGCCGCATGCAATGAGACTCTATATTGTAAATCGCAAGGGGAACGGGAAACCGCGTAAGGTTAAAGTAGATGGTACGGGATCGTATCCGGCTTTGGCACCCCAAGGCGATGCGCTCGTCTACCACAAGGAAACCCGTAAAGGAAGGCAACTCTTCAAAGTTGCCTTAGCCGGGGGTATATCCGAACAACTCACGGATAAAGGCGAGAATTATGGTGCGGATTGGTTCGACCCAGCGTTTGGACTGCCGGTCTCACCCCAACCCCATCTGTTGACAACGGTCTGGGGACGCGTGAAAGTCCGAGATTAGGGGTGTTTTCGATGAAAGCAGTCCTCGCAACGTGCAACCTGAATCAGTGGAGTCTCGATTTTGAAGGGAACACGGCGCGCATCATTGAATCCATAGAGATTGCGAAAGAACGCGGTGCTCAGTATCGGTTGGGACCGGAATTGGAAATCACGGGGTATTCTTGTGAAGACCATTTTCTGGAATTGGATACGTTGCGGCACAGTTGGGAATCGCTGGCATGTATCCTCAAAGGCGGACATACAGATGGCATTCTGTGTGACATCGGGATGCCTGTTATGCATAAAAACGTTCGGTACAACTGTCGGGTTTTCGTATTAGACGGCAAGCTCCTGTTAATTCGTCCCAAGATGGTCATGGCGAGCGACGGCAATTATCGGGAACATCGCTGGTTTACAGCATGGGAACGGGGTTGGAACACCGAACCGTATACACTTCCTCGCGAGATTGCCGAGCTGACTGGACATCGGACAGTGCCTATCGGCATCGCGACGATTGCCACTGCGGATACACTCTTGGCATCGGAGACCTGTGAGGAACTCTTTGTGCCGATGAGTCCACATATTCACTTCGGCAATGCCGGTGTTGAAATCATAGCGAACGGGTCAGGTTCTCACCACGAGTTACGGAAATTAGACACCCGCATCGCACTCATAAGGAACGCAAGTGCCAAAAACGGGGGCATCTATCTCTATGCGAACCAACAGGGATGTGATGGTGGTAGACTCTACTTCGACGGCTGCGCGCTGATCGCCCAAAACGGCGAGATTTTAGCGCAAGGTTCCCAATTCTCGCTCAAAGATGTAGAGGTCGTCACCGCGACGGTAAACCTTGACGACGTGCGTGCGTATCGGGGTACGAAGGCGAGTCGGGCTGTACAAGCGAGCAAAATGGAGCCGTTGCCCCAGATAGATATCGACTTTGATTTTGAACCTGCACACGGGAATAGTGTCCTGAACGTGAGTACAAAAATCGAGCCGTCCATGCACGAACCGGAGGAAGAGATCGCTTTGGGTCCGGCGTGTTGGCTCTGGGATTATCTACGCAGATCTGGTGCGGCGGGGTATTTCATTCCGCTTTCTGGTGGTGCTGACAGCGGTGCCGTCGCAACGCTTGTCGGTTCAATGTGTCAATTGGTGGCAAAGGCGATATGCGACAAAGACACCTCGGTTATTCGCGATGTAGAGCGGTGGCTGGACGACGGTGAAACCCCTGACGTTTTCACGGATCCGCGTGTGCTCGCCAATCGTCTACTGTATACGTGCTACATCGGCACGGAGAATAGTTCTCGCGACACCCAAAAACGCGCGAAACAGATCGCCGAGCAGATTGGGGCTGACCATCTTAACATCAATATGGATGGGATCGTCAATGCCCTGCAGACACTCTTTACCCGTATCACGCAGAAGACGCCTCGATTTAAGGTGGAAGGCGGCACGTATAGAGAGAATCAGGCACTTCAGAACATACAGGCACGGTTGCGAATGGTGCTGAGCTATCTGTTCGCTCAGATGATGCCGTGGGTGCGGAATCGTGAAGGCACTCTCCTTGTATTAGGCACGGGAAACGTTGACGAGGCATTGCGGGGGTATCTCACAAAATACGATTGCAGTAGCGGCGACATCAACCCGATCGGTGGGATTAGTAAACACGACTTACGTCGATTCCTGAATTGGGCGCAACACAACCTCGGTTATACGGCTCTCTCGGAAATTGTTGACGCACCACCGACAGCAGAACTGGAACCGATAACGGAAACCTACACGCAAACCGATGAAGACGATATGGGATGACTTACGCCGAATTGAGTCGTTTTGGGCAACTCCGAAAAATGGAGCAGTGCGGTCCTGTCAGTATGTTTGAAAAATTAGTGCAGGAGTGGGACCATCTGCCACCCGATGCGGTTGCCGAGAAGGTCAAGCGGTTCTTTAGGTACTACGCCATCAACCGACACAAAATGACAACGCTAACGCCTTCCTACCATGCTGAATCTTATTCGCCAGACGACAACCGCTTCGACCTACGGCAGTTTCTCTATAACGTACAATGGACATGGCAGTTCCGTCGTATTGATGCCTGCGTTAAGAAATTGGAGACGGAGTAATGTGGCTATCGGCTGAAGGAGGGAAGGAGGGAAGGAGGGAAGAAGAGGGAGGGAAGGGGTCCCAGCCTTCTATCCTTCCAGTTTTCCAACCTTCCACTCTCAGTCTTTCAGTCTTCTACACTTCCACTCTTCTCCTCGCCTCTGTGCTCCTTCTCAGCACGGCGTACGGCGCGCCCGATGTTCCCTTGAATTTCGATGGTTGGGTTACTGAGGCACTCGCGAAGTTGGAAACCGATGGCATCACAGGCGGATTCCATCGACACACAGCACCACTTTCAAGAGCTGATGTGGCGGAAGCGATACGGCAGGCTGAATCGCGCATTCGCACAGGCGTTGTTGTTCCATCAGCGATAGATAGGAAACTCTTAGAAAAATTGAAACGAGCGTTCGCGAAAGAACTCACGCACCACGGTGGACGGAGGATGCGATTCCTGCCACAACTTCGGACGACAGAAGAAAAAGTGGCTCCGGCGTTTGAATGGGCATTTCACTATACACTTGGGCAACTCGAACAACGAAACGTACCGCGTCTCGCGCTGTATTCTGAATTTGAGGCACATAACTTTGAGAGTCCACCGCTGGACGGGAAAACAGCAGGACAACGTCTTGAACGCTGGCGCAGGGACTATACCGTCGACTTCAAGAGAGGTTACTTGCAAGCCAATAGCGAACATCTTGATCTGCTTGTCGGCAGAGAGTGGCTCTTCTGGGGCGCGAGTCCATACAAAACGGTTGGCATCTCTGATAACTCGCCGCCGTTTGACCAGGTCCGACTCAGCAGTAGACTCGGAAAACGACTCAAAGCGACGGCTTTTACGGCACAACTCGATTCAACTTGGTACGATGACGGTGAAAAACGCTATCTCGCGAAACGTTATATCAGCGGACACCGACTCGACTACCAATTCAACGATCGCGTGGAAATCGGTGTCGCGGAATGGGTGCTTTACGGTGGCGATGCCCAGACACTTGAATGGAAATACGCAAACCCTATCACTTTCTATTACGCGCTACAATATAACGCCAAAGCCGACGATAACGTTATGTTCGCTTTTGATGCGGCGATCCGACCGATAGATGGTGTGCGATTGTATGGTGAATGGATCATCGACGATATCCAATACGTCCCCAGTGCGTACGACCCACATGCAGTCGCGTGGCTCGTAGGAGCGACATGGTATCCGCAACACCTCGGTCGGCATTTCGGAATTCATAGCGAATACGCACGCGTCAACCGATGGGCTTACACGCATCTCGTGCCTGATAATCAGTTCACACATTTCGGCTATGCAATCGGACATCCGATCAGCACCGATTCGGATACGGTTCGATTTTCAGCCACCTATCAATTGACTGTTTCCACTGCAGCAGCGATTCGCGCAGCACTCACCCGACAGGGTGAAGGCGCAATCGCGGATCGGTTTTATGGAGAAGACTACAAGGCACTCCCGTTTCCGACGGGTGTCGTTGCGCGGACAACAGAAATCGGCGGACAGTTCTCTTACCGTCCATTGAACGGATGGAATACCTCGTTCTTATACGTATGGCACCACACGCAAAATGCTGAACATCATAAAGGGAAAACAAGCCAAGCACACCGACTCGCGATTCAGATGGGTTATCTGTTTTAAGGTGCGTGTGAGATTGTCTAAATCGCGGATTTTGGAGCTTTGGCGTGTTCGCTGCCACAAAAGATTTCCGTGAAAAATCCCTCAATTGACACCTACGGGTAATTTCGAGGTCATCCCTTCTACAGAGAAAACAGAAATGCGACGTAAACGGACACTCATTCTTATTCTCGCGACCCTTGCTTTAATCCTCGTGTTAAGTTTGGTCATCAACGTCCCGTTGGATCTGCGGTTGCTTGTGCTGACCCCGAAGATTCTCAAGTATAGAGGGGTGATTCAGCAACACGCCGCTAAAAAAGCGTTGGACGCTCGACTGATTTGCGCCTTGATTGTGCAGGAATCTGGGTTTGACGAAGAGGCAAAAAGCGCGGTGGGGGCGCTGGGGTTGACACAATTGATGCCAACCACAGCAAAGGAACTCGGCGTGCAAGATCCGTTTGATGGGAATCAGAGCATTGCAGGCGCGACGCGTCATCTACGCACGTTGTACAACGCTTTCCCAGAAAGCCCACACGAACATCGGCATCGGTTAGTGTTAGCGAGTTACAACAGCGGTCTCGGACGGGTTCGCGATGCACAAGCACTCGTTCGCTACCATGACGCCGGAGACCCACTTCTCTGGGAACCCGTGAGCATTGCACTCCGCCAGTTGACGAAGCAACACACCTCTATGCATCGCGAGGTCTGGGAAAGCGGCAGACCGCCCCACGGTTATTTTGAAGGTGCCAGCGAAACGTTGACGCACGTAAAACGGGTGATGCGCTACTACGCACGCATCCGTTTCTATGAGGGATTGCTGTTTTTCCTCTGAAGGGTCACGTCCGATGGAAGATTTCATCTAATTGCTTGAAGCGGTAAGCAAAGATTTTTTCTAAATCGGGACGGACAAAGAATTTCTCAATGAACCCACCTCCCCAAACAGCGTATTCGACCAAATCGTTCACGACAACACCCTCCGCTGTCTCATCAAAGGTATGCGTATGTCGCCAGAGCCGATACGGACCGCGCCGTTGTTCATCTTCAAAGGAATGGGGCGGGTCCCACTCTGTAATCTCGGTCTGCCAGCGGATTGGGATGCCATGCAGTTTCAACCGATAATCGATAAGCGTTCCGGCAAACATTGCAATCGGTGCGGGGGTTAGGATTTCTAAGTTTAGTGATGGTGGTGTAATCAGAGCGAGGTTATGTGCGTTGGAGAAAAATTCAAAAACTTCTGTCAGTGGCTGCTCAAGTGTTCGTTGTGATTTAAAAAGGAACGTTTTCATTTTTATTCGGTTATCAGAAGTCGGGAATCGGGGTGTTTTTGCTTGGGTGTTTCCCCCTCCTACAGTGTGACTACCATCAGCAGTGTGGTTGGGAAACCGCGCCCAGCAGAAAGTGGAAGCGACGCTATTAGTCAATATATCTTCAGACGCTACTATTGCGGTTCGTCAGACCCCTGCTCCAATTGTGCGAGGCGTTTGTCGAGTTCTTGCTGCTGTCTCTCCAAGTGCAATACATATAGAATGAAGACTAACCAGATGACAAGATAGGCGGAGGCAAGATATTTGAGGCGTGTGCTTTGTGCCTTTTCCAGTTTTGAGACGGACAGTTGCACTGCCTGTGCTAAGAGGTCCTCATCCACAGGAGATTCGGATTCCGAACTTGCTTCCCCAATAGCCTTCGCGACTTCATCTTCGGTCAAGGTGATCGGGATTTGGGTTGCAAAGATGAATACTCCCAAAACCATCAAAAAACTCACAAGAACCGCTATTTTCATTAGGATGCCTCCCTTAAGTATTTCTGTCGGACTATTTCATAGCGCGCTTCCGCCTTCTTCATCCGATACCGCACGATTAGCAACAGCGTAAACAGCATGATGAGTGCGAGCAGTGCCACCATCCATGTATGTCGCATTGTCGTTTCGAGGCTCCATTTGGTTCCGCGGTCTGGATGCAAGCCCCCATGCCAGATATCCACGGCATAATAGACAATGGGTACGTCAAGATAGGCGATAATACCGAGGACGGCGGAATAAAGTCTCCGTTTGTCGTCTTCCAGAGCAGAACGGAGAATAAAATAACCGACATACATGAGCCAGAGGACGAGTGTACTCGTGAGGCGCGGTTCCCAATTCCACCATGTATTCCACGCGTATCGCGCCCAGATTGGACCCGACAGCAGCGCAATCGTGCAAAAGACGAGACCCAGTTCCGCTGCAGCGACTGCGAGGAGATCGTCGTTCGGTTTACGTTGGATGAGGTACTTGATACTAAATACGCAGTTGACACCGAAGGCTACAAAAACGGTGAGTGCGGCTGAGACGTGATAGTAGAAGATTTTTTGGACTTCGAGCATCGTGCCTTCAATGCGCGCGTATCCGAAGACGAGATAGAGTGAGAGAAAGACGAGGATTGCAGTGAGAGTGCCTACAATTTTAGTGCTTAGATTTCCCACAATGAACTCCCCGTTAGAATTTCGGGTCCGTCCGAGAGGATCACCACCGTATGCTCAAAGAGCGCCGATAAGGTGCCATCAAGCGTCGCAATGCTCCAGCCGTCTGCCAGTATGTGGACATCGGAAAGCCCAACGTTCACCATCGTTTCAATCGCGAGGACCATACCCGGTCTCAAACGTAAACCGCGTCCAGCGACCCCCATGCAGGGCACCTCTGGTGCTTCATGGAGGTTCCGCCCGATGCCGTGTCCGGAAAAATTCTGGAGGACCGAGAACCCTGCGGACTCTGCACCGTCTTGTAACTTAGAAGAGATGTCGCCGATACGGTTTCCCGGTTTCGCTTCGGCAATGGCATCGTAGAGAGAACTCCGAGTTACATTAAGCAACCGTGCGGCTGACAGTGAGATGTCTCCAACGGGGAAGGTGTAAGCGTTATCGCCGTGGTAGCCGTCAATGCTGACCGCTGTATCGATCCCGATGATGTCACCCTCTTGCAGCACTTCACTTTTATCTGGAATCCCGTGGATGACAATATCGTTAATCGAGGTACATATTGTGGCGGGATAAGGCTCATGATCCGGGAGCTGGTAGCCTAAGAAGGAAGATATGGCGTTGACTTCGGCAATTGTATCACGCGAGATGCGTTCTAAGTCGGCAGTCGATACCCCCGGGTGCAATTGCCTCTCCGATGCGGTTTAGCACCGTCGCTGCTGCCTTGCCACTTCGCTTCATCTTCTCAATTTCGAGTTTGTTCTTGATTCTAACTTTGTCCATTAGACTTTCTGCCCAATTAAGGTATGTGCTGTTGTGCTGTGAACGCGAACGTTGACAATTTCGCCAATGTGGCTGTCCGCTTTGGGGAACACAGTCGTCTTGAAACCGTCCGTTTTTCCGTAGTATCTATCTGCATCGCGACGGGATTCGCCTTCTACGAGCACTGCAACCGTCCCACCGACTGCGGCATTGTTGATGTCCGCGGAAATGTTTTCCTGGAGTTCAATAATCTGTTTGAGGCGTTCTCCCTTTACTGTTTCAGCGACATCATCAGGTAAGGCTTTGTGTGCGAGGGTCCCCTCACGTTCGGAATACTTGAACATGAACGCTGAATCGTATCGGATATCCGCCATCATCTGATACGTTTCCATAAATTCGGCATCGGTTTCACCACAGAAGCCGACGATAATATCGGTTGTAAGGGAAATATCAGGGACGCGTTCGCGGAGTTTTGAGACGAGTGTGCGATACGCCTCCGCTGTATAGGTGCGGTGCATCCGCTCAAGGACTTCGGTTGAACCCGACTGTAGTGGGAGGTGCAGATGTTTACAGACGGTCGGTGAATTCGCCATTGCATCAATCATGCTGTCCGTCGCGTCTGCGGGATGTGGAGAGGTAAATCGCACGCGTTCCAATCCGTTGACTTCGCCGACAGCGTAGAGGAGATCTCCAAAATCGGCACGGTCATTGTGATAGGAGTTAACGGTCTGTCCAAGAAGCACAACCTCTTTGAATCCTTGATCCACGAGTTTTTCGACATCTTCAACGAGGAGTTTTAGCGGGAGACTGCGTTCTCTACCGCGGACGAAAGGGACGATGCAGAAGGTGCACATCTTATCACACCCTCGCTGAATGGTGAGCCACGCTCGAATCCCTTCTTTTCGGATGGGAGCAATGTCGGCGTAATCCTCGTTTTTGTCCAACCGTAACCCAACAAACGGGTCGCGATCCGTCAGGGAAACATGCGATTCAACACCACGCGCCAAAGAATCCAAAGCTACCGGCAGATCTCGATAGGCATCCGGTCCCATGACGAGATCGACATAGGGTGCGGCATCTAAGAGTCGGTCTCGAAGGTGTTGCGCCATACAACCACAGACCCCGATAATGAGTTCGGGGTGGCGGCGTTTCCGGTGATGCAGATGCTTCAGCCGATTAATGACTTTCGTTTCGGCGTTTTCCCGAATTGCGCAAGTATTGACGAGGACGACATCCGCATCGTCGAGGTGTGGGACGGTCTGGTGTCCACTTCGCGTTAAAATACCTGCCATCAGTTCGCTGTCGCTGACGTTCATCTGGCACCCGTAGGTTTCGATGTAAACACGACGGGCATGTGCCGGTGTTACACGAGAGGAGCTGCCGTCTGCGATACGTGTGGCGGCGGATGCGGTGCGTCTGCGCCTTCACTTTTATTATAGAGTGGGAAAAGCGTATCGTTTTTCATTTTTTTAACTATGGGCCCCTGGGCTGCCCTCCAAATGTAAAGCAAAGACAAATTATGCCATTTAAGGAAACCTAATTTCATTACGGGCAGGTTTCTGGTTAATTTCAGGCGCGTTTGGTATAGATGCCGTGATTTCAGTACTATATATAATATCGACTCAGCCGATGTAGTCCTGATGGCATTCCCAGACATCGACCGTAAAGAGATCACCGACGTATGCGAGGACACGGTATTTTAAGGTGCGTGTCACACCGACATTTACTTTGAAAGGAACAGCCTGTGCGAAGAGGTATCCGAACGATGCGTCCTCCGCGAGAAACGTTGTTTCACCGTTTGTTGGATGCGGAAAGATAGCGACACCGACAGAACTCTGTTCCTCAGTCGTGATGCCAGAGAGCGTTCCCCACGCCGACCGATTTCCATTCACTTCTGACTCGCCGATCCGTCCGTTGGCATCCGCGGCTTTGCGGTACCCCATCTCAACCGTCCGACATCCAAGTCCGATGTTACCCGCAAATTCGAGCGAAGTCGTAGGTGCGTACAGTGAGATAGCGATGTCCAGCACTTGGACTTCGTTTTTAGGCGGATGCACATCCATCGTGCAAGTTTCTACGAGAATCGGTTCCGAGGCATCCCACGTCGTGACAACCGTGAATTCTTTCGAGATTTTCCCCGTTGACGGCATCCTTTTACGGGTCAGTGTGTTCTGATCCAGCGGCTCGCCATTGACGGTTCCGAGCGTGAAGCAGATTCCCGGTGGACGCTGTCCGTGGGTGTACTCCCCCTCCGTTACCACCTGTCCGTTCGGTGCGTAGAACGGATGAAAATACGGTGGACATTCAGGATCACCATAACAGTAAGTGAGTATCGGTGCGTTGTCTTTTGTAATGGATAATTCGTTGTTGTTAATTTCGTGTATCATAGATTCCTTTCATGGGAATTATACCACGCATCTTCAGAGAATGCAAGCGCGATTTAGCATTCAGTTATCAGCAATCAGCAATCAGCCATCAGGTGTCGGGAATCGGAGTTCCCTCCTACAAGGATGGCGTTGGTTTGTTATTTGGCTCTAAAATGGGGTATAATTTATATTGAAAAATGACCCAAAAGGAGATCTTTTTATATGCGCCCCATTATCGGAATCATATTTAGCGAAAATATTGAGGACAATCCTTCTAATAACTATATAAACGCTATTACAGAGTTCGGTGGTATACCTCGCACGCTGTACCCCGGCATATCAGAAGACGCTTACGCTGGTATTGATGGACTTTTGCTAACAGGGGGTGACGCAGGGGGTAGCGATATTCATCCAGACAATTTCGATGCCGAGTGGCACCCAACGCTAAAATATGTCAACGAAGATCGAGATGCCTTCGAAATATCGCTCTGTCAAGAAGCAATAGCAGCGGACATGCCCGTTTTCGGTATCTGTCGCGGTATTCAGATTATGAGCATTGCGATGGGTGGCAACCTCTACCAAGATATACCCTCGGAATTTCCAAAAGAGGCATCACGCCAATCACAGGTAAACGGTGTCGATGCCCGGCATGCAATTGAGATCGTCGCGGGCAGTCGGCTAAGCAAAATCACGGGTAAACGCACAGACGAAGTCAATTCCGCGCATCATCAAGCCGTGAAAGAGATAGGTGAGGGGTTTGAGGTGACAGCACGTACACAGGAAGGGATTATTGAGACGACGGAAAACCGATCAAAGCGGTTTGTGCTGGGTGTGCAATACCACCCGGAGCGGATGATTGAAACCGATGGTTTTCAGGAACACCGGCGTAAACTTTTTGAGGCGTTTATTGAGGCTGCCTCCCAACAATAACCTCGCCTCCCAGGTCCGGTAGGTGCGGTTTTGCGGCGTACTCGCCCAAATGCGATCTGCATTCCTAACCGCACCGGCACTTAGACACAAACCTTGCATACCTCAAAATCATCTTTGGTTTCTCCAGCGGGTTCTCACTGCGAGGCAATCTATGTAGAAAAAGAAACCATTCAGGGTCTGTTATGCTTAAAAATTGGCGACTAAGGAGAAGCGGTGCGTTAATCCGAGAACGCCAAACGGCACGAGGGCGTAATCGATTTGGAAGCGGAGGAGCGTCAATCCAAAACCACCCGTGAGTCCAGAAATCGCGCCTAAATCGTTACCGCCGATCTTATATTTATAGCCGGTGCGGAGCTGTAAGATATTGCCTATCGTGTAGCCTGCACCGACCCCGATAGCGATATCGTTGTCGGAGGGACGAATGATGTCCGTCGTTAAGATGAATGCATCATTCCAGAGCCTGTAAGCCGCGCCGAGTCTGAAAGTAAAGGGTAACCCGAAAGCCTCCTCTACGAACTTCACCCGCGGACCGACGTGCTGTGCGTTGAATCCCAGCGATAGAGGTGTCTCAGGAAAGTTGTATAGCCCACCGAAATCAAAAGCGATGCCGGTCCCGCTTTCGTCAGCAATCTGCTCGCGCAGAAATTTCGCGTTCACACCGAAAGCGAGAGAACTCCCAAAGCCACGAGCATACGAGAGGATCAGTGCCACATCGTAGGGACGGAAAATCGTCGTTTCATTCCCATCCCGATCGCGTCCCTGCAATTCACCGAAAGACAAAAAACTCGCGCTCGCGCCGAGAGTGCCAGCACCCTTAAGCGGAAGCGCGAACCCGACGAATTCGTGGTTAATCCCAGCGAACCATTCGTTATGCATGAGTGCGAGTTGCGGTTGTTGGAGTCTTGCGAGACCCGCGGGATTCCAATACGATGCGTAAAGGTCATCGGTCGCCGCGACTTGGGATTCGCCCATGCTCATCGCCTCTGCACCAACGCCGATTTTGAGGAAGGTCATGGCGCGGGTACCGGCGTTTTCGTGGATGTCCGCATTATCCGCGGCGACGGGCATGCACGCAAGGATGAAAACTATGATGAAGGTATATGTAAAAGTGCGATAGTTCGCCGCACACAAACGGTTCTGGCTTTTAAACTGTCTCATTTTTTTTCCTGTCGATGAAGTTCAATTTAGTATATCACATCGCTATGTGGAAGTCAAGCGTCGAGTCGGGTTTCACCAGGGTCATTTAGTTTTACATATTGACTTTATATGCGTGAACGTTTTTCCGCTGTAGGAGCGAGCTGTGCTCGCGATATTGCGCGAAACCCTAAACTTATGTGAACGAAAACCAAGATCGGAACCGAAAACTAAATAGTCCTGCGGGTTTCACGTTCCTCTCAAATTAATCTTTCATAGGACAGATATGAAATTTCACAGTACTATGAAAAATTGTTCGGTGAAAATTCGGGAAAACCCAGTCATGATATAGGCTTACGACCTATTCTGAAATATATCAATTGTGGAGTTTGCTATGAAAACTGTGAAATTAAGCCCTTACGAACCATCGGCAAATAGATTACTAACTAATACTATTTCTGATTGAAAATTTTTCAATAGAATTTTAGCGAAAAAGCCGAATTGTAGCACAAACTTTATGAAGTTTCAATAAATAATTCGGTAATTCTATGACGGGAGTTTCAGGCAACAAGGATGTCCACTCCTGCAAATCCGATAAATCCTGTAAATCCTGCTTCAGACAATGAACACCCCACATGACCGATTTAAATTCTGAATCTTCATCCAACCGCACCGGCACTTAGACACAAACCTTGTATACCTCAAAATCCTCTTTGGTTTCCCCGGAGGGGCGGCATTTGTGTAGCATGCTGCCACAAAATACCACGAAAACCTTAAATTGACACCCATGGGTTTCGCTACGCGCTACCCACCCTACAAGCAAAAGCGGGGTCAGGAATCGGAGTTCCCTCCTACAGGGCAGGCAAATTTTCAATGATGTCTACCGTCTCTAAACTGACGGTGATTACCTGACCGATTAACTTGAAAATGTACTGCGGGTCGTCGGCACGGTTTGGGTCGTTGACGATCTCCGTCCGTTTGTCGGTTTTCACACGATACTGATCTATTACCCACTCCAACGCCGAGCGGGTGCCGAGTCGGTAATCATGCACCTTCGGTGGAATCCCCGATAGCGTCAGGAAATCGTTATAGACAAGCGAGGTTTTGTCTTTGGAGAGTTTCATCTTCTCCACACGCCAATTGAGTTGTGCGTCCGGATTTTGAACGAACTTCAAATTATCGTATTCGGGTTGGGATTCGTAGTTGACGTGAATATCTGCGAGTCGCGCGCCCGCTTCCGCAAATCCCAAAAAGTCTTTGGCAAACGGAATGTGTGGCAGATCGCGTTTGAGGTTCGCCTCGTATTTCTCGCGATAGTCGGGGTGATGTAAAGTCCGTAGTTGTAGTGGAAGATGTCCCACTTGGTGAGGGTGTCGTCCTGGTAGTGCGTTCGGAACTCCGTCAACGCCCAATCGGTGATGTTTTCGCGGCGGTTCGTGCCGTCCTCGTCGTAGATGTAGAATGGGAAACATTGAAAGCTATCACTTGTCGCAAGTGTATGGAAGTCGGGAATCAAATTTGTCATCAGTGTGTTAAAGCCTGCGCGGAAGCCGTGATCACTGACAATTATCACCCGATTTTCAGTTTCAGTCTCTGGTGTAGGAAAGATGGTAGGGAAGTGGGAAACATCATTATTCATAATAGAATCAAAAAACAGATAAGATTTTGTGAAAGGACGATAGAGTGAATTTCTCACCTTGTGTTCAGCATACTCTGCGACTTTATTTCGTTGCAACTCCCGTTTCAAGTTGCGACTCCACTTAATTTTCGTCTCACCAGATACCACAAAATCATCAAGGTTCGTATTCCGATCTGTTCTCTGTGCCCATCGAGCAACTTCCGCGTTGTAAGTTCCAATCATTCTGTTCACGTTTTCAGTCAGGACA